TTTTTAAATTAATTCTTATAGTTCACGTTTTGCTAGTGAAAAAACTAATTAACTTTAATTTAAATTCTAGCGATTATACATAATAAGTGATGATTATGACAGCTCAATTCATACGCCTCTTCTGTTATTGGAAATGTGGTATAAGAAGATCAATAGAAATGTTAAAATTTTAAAGAAACCCATTTTATTTAAACGAAATTTAATGAAACAAATTCTATTAAATAAGATGCGAATTTTTAATCAGTAATAAGTAAATCAAGGTTGATGGAGCGTCAGAAACTGACTAATCTGGCTTAAATTGAGACGAAAGAATTTTTATTACGCACCACGCATTCATGTCGAAGATATAAAAACAAACTGACAACAGTCATATTTTATATATTTAACTAGGGAACTGAATTCGCTGGACTAAACAATAATGAGTGGGTTTTTATGGGGGCGGCAAGTGCTACTGGTTGTTACTTAAACGTTTTCAATTCATTATCATAGTTGTGTTGCTTGATACTGTTCTTACTATCGAGTACTGTAGATATAATGATATGAAGATATCCTTGGTTAACATGGGATCTTAGTCATTAAGTTATTTAGCCGGTTTCACGCAAAGATATAGTATATAGCAAAATTCAGTGGGGTCCATCACATAATAAATGTGCTTTTACTACGGAATGTTTAATTTAAATGTTTTACCTCTTAATTCCTAAAATTTTAATAATTACGACACAAAACAGCCCTGCTAAGAATGTACTTAACTATTAAAGTGTTACCCCATTAGGAATATGATTCACTCCTATTGGTCTAGATACAAAGGATACAAAGACTTTTTGCACTCAAACCAACCATTTCAGCTCCGTCATATTTGGGCGAAGTGATCTTGCACTGTAGTGCCCATAAAATAGATATTAGCGACCACTAATGTTCTCTTTGCATTAGTGTCACATTAAATGTTACGATATGTCGCAACATCAGTAAACATACATTCACAGATTAAAAGATTTGTTCGAATAAAAAATGTTTCCTATGTAACCAGACAAAAGAAAATCTTGCGCAGTGAAATTTATGAAGTTGTAGTCGACAGTAAAAGTGCACATCAAAACAAAAGGGAATGGTCGTTAAAGTTGGGATAGAAGTTTAGTGGCTTTCAACGTTGACGACCGGCAAATTTTACGTTTCCAATCATTAATATGAAGTAGCCGTGAAATTGATTGAGATGTTCGTTAATTTAGAGTTTTATATATTGGTTATGCTGGTATTATGGGGTCTCCAAATTAGACAGGCTCCTGTAGTGAATTATCTTATTGATTTATATGGCTATGGTAAAATGTCAATATCTAGTAATATAAATTAGTTTTAATTATTAGGCCTAACCAATTAATCCGTTGAGCTAGAATTTATGTTATTTGTTAAAAATCAATTTCTGTTAGCACAAGATAAGGAAACAATGTTATTCCTATATTACCGAAAAATATACTCGCGATTTCTAGAAATTAAAAAGAAAACTATTCTTCGGCTGCATTCAAAGCTTTTTTTTAATCTGGCTCTATCTCAACAAGTTAATGTAATTCTACGTTCAACGTAGGTACTATCATATCATTTACATATAAAAAACCGGCCAAGTGCGTGTCGTACCACGCGCAGTGTAGGGTTTTATAGTTGCCTGTCGTTACCACAATATATTTGAGAGCAGGAGTCTTTATTTTCTGTCGGAAATAAAAAAAAACTATTTTAATTTTAAACTATGTATCTCCACTAAAATACCAAAATTACAAAGTCAAACTGCGTCTCAAACTCAATTCGGTATTAATTTTTTTAAATATGAATGCCTTTTTTTTCTCCCAGGCCGGGGAGCGGGATGTGAAATCCTCATGGATATCCTACAGCCGGTTACAAGGTTATGTCAGACTCTTACTGACTAAATCACACCCGTAGTACATGCTTATGGCCGGAAGGGCTTTACAAGCTTCAAGGGGTGATATAGATAGCCGATTTTTTTTCAATAGGTTAGATTTTTTTTAAATAAAGTTGAACGACTATTACTCTTAAACTAACAAATTTATCTTAACCGTTATAATTTTCCTTAAAAGTTCATGAAAAGCACTATTATCATGAAATTTTCCAGGTTTTTAAGGCTAATAATAAAGCTTTTACCCCTCTAAAAGCGGAGGACGCCCTAATCGAACAAAATTTAGCACTATTTCGTAAACGGATCCCTAAATCGAAAAATATGGGTTCCTAAACTCAAAAAAAGTAAATATAAAAGACCTATTCAACGACACACAAAGGGATAAAGATGATGAAAAAAACCATCCCCAAGTTACCTACATGTAGGCGAGCTACCCTAAAAAATATATTTTTAAAATTTTATTCTATAATTTTGTCGGCATGATTAATTCACATATCTCCACAATTTCAGCTCTCTAGTGCTAACAGTCTTGGAGACTGTTAGCACTAGAGAGCTGAAATTGGAGCTAAACCCGGGGACAGACAGAGACGGACGTGACGAAACTGTAAGGGTCCATTGCCAGGACTACTGAACCCTAAAAACAGAGCGAGAAATATATCGCTTACATACAAATTAAAATGAGCGCGAAATCATAGACTCTAGGAACTGACAAGTTAATCCCGATGATACGCACCGTGCTCAAACGCGGGTCGACCCTATGTACCTCCCCACATCTCCACGTCATGACGACAATATACTTGCTTGCAATTGACTAATGTTTATGGAGTCCGTAAAAAGTGGATATTCATCATTCTGTTGTATATTTCAGTAAAAATAACCAAATCAAAAACTCCATTTTGAAGTTGCCGCGAAAACGTTTCTCTGGACAATATGGCGTCTTACTAGTGTGTGACGTCACACGACTGTTATTAAAACGTCAAACGATACAATATAATGTCACTTTAACCGGAAGTTTACTTGCGTGTGACGTCATTTTAGGCTCCGCCAATCCCAAGCGTTACGGGTCACGTGACAATAGATAAGAAAACTTTTATCTTTTTCGTGGGTTTTTAGTAAAATTATGAATATTTTTTTGTAAAAATAGTAAAAACCCCTGCCAATATTCATTCTAAACACAGATGCTAACAATTGGCACTTTATTTTTAATACAGTCAAATATTATACGACTAGAGGGCCTACCGCCTATCGGGATTGCTATGATTATAGCTTATGATTTCATTTTGTTATTTGTGACCGCTGAACGTATATAAATGCCTCGCACTCTTTTTTTTCTTTTGCATTGGTTATAACATTATTAAAGAAGGTGAGCGTGAGGTGTTTATAAACCTTCATCATCAGCCTATTGATGTCCCCACTGCTGGGGCACAGGCACAGGTAGGGAACTACCGATGGAATAGGGAGATTGGTCATGACCCATCACGCGGGTCCAGTGCGGATTGATGGGTGCTAGAGACTGCAGATGCAGCCGGGACCAACGGCTTAATGTGCCTTCCGAAGCACGAAGGAACTCGAGATAGAAGATTTTTGGTAACCTATCCAATGACCGACCACTGCGAAAGTTGCTTAAGTTCAACGATCGCAGCCGATCGCGACAGCCACCTGCGCCATCGAGCTCCTCTTTCGTTTTCGTTTATAAGTCAGAAATAAAAATGAAATCATAAGCTATAGCCATAGCAATCTCGTTAGGCGGTAGGCCCCCAGGATTGCACGTTATGTCAACGCACTGTGCAACGTTACCGGCACCGTTTCACGATGAAGACGTCGTATCATGGAGATGTAGACAGGCCCTATGCTAGGGGAATTTGCGTGACTGACTAGCTGCCGCATTAAACAAACCAGTAAATTGCTGGATAGATCTTTAATGGAATTTAAGTGTACATTGACTCGAAAGCGCTGTAAACAGCTTAGTGTAGTATACGGTTTAATTTATATAAATATTACATTTTATACACCTATCTTTCTTATGTAATATTGTTTTTTTAATCAAGTTTTACAATGATAGAAATAATAAAATTGATCTATTTAAATGTAATTGCTACAATTTTTAAATGTTGGTTACTATCAATATATATATTGTAAATGAAACTAACACAATTACTATGACGCCGACTTTTAGAGTAATATGACGTATTTTCACCTCGAAAATGGCCATATAGCATTGCCTTGTTATTTTTTTTTATTTTCATGTCAGCTTGTCGTTGGGCACAATCAAACTCAAAAATCTAATTTAGCAACACTTTAGTTTCCACTGATGGTAGGTAGGTAGGACGTAGGTATTATATTAGGATGTGATAATTGTTTAGTTTTAAAAGTAGATGGAAAAGTAACACTCTCTGAAAATCTCTGAAACTCTGATTTACTTCGTATTTTTCATTATTAGTAAAATCTAATCAGAACGTGGTTCATTTTCAGAAATACTAGTTTTAATTTGTCTTAATGAATCACCGATTTGACCTGCGTCTTCCTTTTTCTTGTGTCTTTGACCCGTCATCTTGTTGGCGGTTGTCCATAAGCGTGATAACGATGACTAAATTTTATCTAAAGAAAAAAAATTACAAGATAAATTCCACTCGGTCGAGGTTTCAAACGGGATTCGAATCCGCATCTTCTGCTATCCGGGCAGTATTATTTATTATTCCGGTATTTTTCCTAGTGATTTTTTTTAGATTTATACATCTACCAGTTAAATGCTATAATAGACTTGGATTTATGTTATCCCTATTTATAATTATATCACCTCCTTGGTGCGAGTGTAAGGTATGCCGTGTCGCCTACTCAGAGGTCTTGGGTTCGAATCCCGGTGGGGCAAATGTTTGTATGATGAATACAAGCATTTGTACCTGAGTTCTTGTAGCTCTTCTTATCTGCAAATATTTAAACATTTGTATCAGTATAATGTATTCTATCCGTAACCCTCGTATCCCATAGCATACCCTTACACTGCTTACTTTGGGGCCATTTCAATTAGTATGAGTGTTTATTTTGAAGCTAGACTAATTTTCCATGAGTGATAGAAATATTTAATTACGTTTATTTTTAGGTGGTGGGTCGTGAAGGAGTTCTGGCGTCGGCGGCCACACGAGAGCTGCGATGCGGGCGGAGACTGGTGTCAGGCTTGTTCTCGAGACCTCGGCTGCCCCTCGGCTATTCGCACGTGGCGACAGTGCCTCGAGGCGCGTGCCGTCTCAATGTCTCAGAAATCGTGACAAGCGACAACTACATTGGTTAGTGTGCATAATCATTACGGTCTTGGAGCCGTAATCTAACATACTCTCTAAAGATTTGCTTATTTTTAGAACTGTAAAATAGGACAAACATAGGGTATAGTTATGCTTTTAAAAACTTTAAGCATTCAACTGTGCGTATGCGTAGTAACCAAAAATTGTATATTACTAAAATCTTCAACATTTATTTCGTTAAAATAAGATCTCGCTTTGGAATAAGTTTTGTGCACTTCCTATTCAAACAAACAAAACTCAAACACATTTTTAAAGAAGTAGGTAAAAAAGGTACATCAATATTACTGCAAAAACTAAAGAGGAGTGTACATAGGTAGTTTATAGTATAGTTTTACTGAAAGTAATCTAGAACTCTTCGCTTTTAAATATAGGCATTGTTATAAAGGAATATCCTGTTGCAAATCAGCGCAATAACACGGTTGCTAAATAGTCCTTGTGCCAAATCTGTAATGAGCAATGATGTCAATATCGATTCCTATTGATGACGGTATGACATAAATCGAACAATACTCGGTCACAAGGAACGATATTAATCGAGAAATGAAGTGTTCACTAGTGCAAAGATCGATGCCGAATCGATTAATCGGAATTGCACACGCGCTCAGTACCGCATCTCTCTAATAGACGCGCCTACGCTGCAATAATTGCGAGATAAATGGAAGCACTCGACTACACAATTGTTGGTTTTAATTATTTCTGACGCACCTACCACTAACTTGGTTGCTGATACAGTTTATTTCTACAGACTAACCTCATTCCGTTTATGTGCTGATAAATTCACTGCTATCCACATTTAATTTTAATCTTATATGCGTTAGTTAGACTTATTTTAAACGAACTGCATATTACATATAGGTAAACATTAATAAGAACGAATCGCTTGTTGCAAATAGGAATGTCATCTTCTAAAATACAAAAGCTGACTCGGTGTTGAATTAGTCTGGACAGTTTTCCCTAAAAAGCCCGATTTTATCTTATAAATCCACTTCACCTTTTTTATTTTTGAGCTGTTGGTCGCAGATGACCTTTATAGCATCACCGGGTTTGGTGACGGCGAAATCCTAAGGGGACCTCAAGCCGAGAATTGGCGAGTGCCTCTAGAGGTATTCCAGGCGGATGGCATCTCCCCACTTTATCGGCTTTATCGAAGTAACGCGTCGAGGCGTCCTGAATATATTTCGCGATGGAGTCTAACTTGAGATCGCGGTGCAAATCGATGTTGCGCACGTACCACGGGCAACCTGTGGCATCGCGCAACACACGATTTAACAAAGACTCGCGTAGAACATAATAGGGCAGATCCAAATTTTGTAAATTGTCAACTTATGCATAAGTGACATTTTACTACGCTTCCCTATGAGGTGGATTAGCTTGCCGCGAATGAATGCTGCGGGATCACAAACTATCTTGAAATAAGGTGCAAATATCAATCGGTTATCTAATGTGACTCCCAAAAACTTGACACAGTCCTCCCAGGGGATGACCCGGTCAAATGCTTGGATGCTCGGAAGAGAACGCGTGGGAGGTAGTGTCGTGCTAAAGAGGATCGTGACGCTTTTCTCCGAGTGTACCTCATATACGCCATCTACGGAACCAATCGCCAAGGGTGGTAGCGGCTGATTGAAGTCTAATACAGACTGTTCCGAGACGTCTATCGGGGGTATCTACTTCACCTGATAAACTCAAAATATTATAATTATTTGACCCAAGAGGACCAAAAAATGCCAAACATACTGGAAAAAGACAGATGCAATCCTAGTTGCAAAGACATCTAATCTAATCGGCAGAGATCCTGGCTTGTTCCAAAGTTTATAAATTGTCGAGCCTCATCTTTGCTAATATAAAATAGTATTGTTTGCTAGCGGATACGATAAACGCTGCTCCACTCGTCATAATATTAAAAACAATCCCACAACCCGAGCGCCACCTATCAGTTGAGAATCTACGAGTATATCCATTAAGAGATCCGCTAGAATGCACACATGTTATTTCATTGAAATAGTCGTTTAGTAGTTTAACCTTATAATCACGGACAGTAGAGATTTATATAAAAAAAAGCTCGCTCGATTTCGCACACTGACAACTATAGCCTACATACGTTATGTTCCAGCATTAAAGGTTACGAATGGCTCGTACATAATGAACGGCGAATTTGCTGTAAGCGCTCCCGGGACGTACGATGCAGCCGGCGCCCGCTTTACCTACACGCGCAACGCGGGACTTGACAACGTCTACGCACTTGGACCCATACAACATCCCATCGATATAATGGTAATAATTGATGACGCCTTTGCTTAAAAAATATTCTTATTTTAAATATCATTTCCAAAAGAAAAAAAATAATCTCCCAGCTAGTGATATTCCCGTGCATGTGCAATTGGTAAAAGTCTATCAACGGACAGAGCTTTGGAAAGTTCTGTCTGCTGATGTTCTGAAAACTGCCGCTGACGATGCGTTGGCAATCTCTTACTTTAAAAGGTTGGATTTAAATGTTATCAATGAAATTCAATTCATACCAAAATAATATTCTTGTCTCAAAGTGTCTCTCCCTTATTACCAACAGCGCAAGTGATGTTAAGGTTTGTAACTATCCAGGCGGGAACATTGTTTCCCAATCCGTGAAAATCCAGCGATCTTTCTATGCAATTATTGCTAATAATCAACTTTGTTTGCAGATACTGTATACGCAACCGAATCCGAATATAAAATACGAGTTCCTAACTGACACAGATCTGGAGGAAAGTAACGACATACCTACTAGCAATCAGCCCCAGCACACAATGACGAGGCATCATCGGCACCATAGCTCAGAATTGCACAAAAAGGATCTTCAGTATCCAAAAACGAACCCTTCACCACCGAAGCACCCAGATTTCAAAACATTGGAGAGCCAATCGCAGATCGAAAGCAATGTAATCGGGGAGAGGAAGTTTGTGTGGAAGATATTATCGTTCTCGCAGTGCTCTAGGAGTTGCGGTGGTGGGCTTCAGATAGGGAAGTTCAAGTGTGTGGAGGTCTCCGGAAAGGAAGATAAGGAAGTGTCCTCAGCTTATTGTACGGGAGCGCCCCCTCCGACACGGCGGCGGAGGTGTGGAGGAGCCCCGTGTCCTCCTCGGTGGAGGGCGGCGGCTTGGGGTCCGTGTCCTGTCTGTGGACCTGCCCAGAGGACCAGGATTGTTGGCTGTGTCCAAGATCACGCTAGAGGCATCACTAAGGTATAGTCCTCTTGATGAATTAAAAAAAAACTTGTCACTAGTTCTTTAGTTCATGGCCTTAGAGATCAGAGTACTAAGCGATATAATAATTTTTATTGATTGATTTATTTGGCATCATTTACCATAATATTTTTCCAAAATAAAATTTCTTATATCAATTTCAGATAAGCGATCAAAAGTGCCCACTTCCGATGCCTGCCAGCAGTGAACCTTGCAACATTCCCAATTGCGACGGCTCCACTGTAGCGGCAGACTCTCCAAGGCTCGATACCAGGCGGCAAGTGCGACCCAAGGATCGGACGGACGCGTTCCACGACGGACCTGTTATATCGCTGGCTAACAACGTAACGGACAACGAGCTGGTACCGGCTATATCACCGAATTATAGCTACAACGCTGCTGGTGGATGGTTGTACACCGAATGGTCAGAGGTAAGGAAATTATGAACGCAATAAGCAAAGACAGCCAGATATCCTAAATCTGTAACTCACTTTGAGTTTTATATTACTTAATAAACAAATGACAATCGATTATGGAAATGTGACAGTTAGTAGTAAATTGATGAGGAATTGTCTGTAAAAATAAACACAAAGCTTATTCTAAATGTTCTACGGAGTGTAGGAAAGGGCAATGTGCGTTTGATACTTCCGTTATAAGCATATATCTTCATCTTAAGCCTATTAACATACCCATTGCTGGGGCATCAACTTTTCCTATGGGTGGCATAAAGAGAAATTCACCCGAAGCACGGAGGAACTCGCAATATAAAAGTTTAATTCACTCATCCAAAGAACGGCCGTCAAAAGTTCAATGTTAAATAAAAAATTTTTTGCGAGTTTACATCGCGTATTTTTCTTATTTTACATTATTGTTGAACCTTTACTGATTCCGTGATCAAATACACATTTTAAAAACGCGCGTTAGTTAAAAAATAATAAATAATTAAAAATTTCCTGTCCTTTCTCTACAGTGCGTTGGCTGGTGCGTCGGTGGTGGAATACAGTCGCGTGGGGTTCGTTGCGCGGAGCCAACTGGATGCAACTCCCGCGCGCCTATATCCACGCAGACTTGCGCGCCGAGGAAACAGTGTGAAGCGCAATGGTTCACCAGTAAGTAAACGAAGATAAAGTTCCTTGTTGTCCCTCTATTAGTGCGTCGGCGGTGGAGTTCGTTACGCGGAGCTAACAGGATGCAACACCCGCTAGCCTATATCCACGCAGGCTTGCGCGCCGAGGAAACAGTGTGAAGCGCAATAGTTCACCAGTAAATAAACGAAGATAAAGTTCCTTGTTCTCTCTCTATAGTTCGTCGGTAATGAAGTTCGTTGCGCGGAGCCGACTGGTTGTAACTCCCGCGCGCCTATATGCACGCAAGCTTGCGCGCCGAGGAAACAGTGTGAAGCGCAATAGTTCACCAGTAAGTAAACGAAGATAAAGTTCCTTGTTCTCTCTCTATAGTTCGTCGGTAGTGAAGTTCGTTGCGCGGAGCCGACTGGTTGTAACTCCCGCGCGCCTATATGCACGCAAGCTTGTGCACCGAGTAAACAGTGTGAAGCGTAACCAGTAAGTAAACGCAAAAGAAATTTCCTTGTTCTCTCTATTAGTGCGTCGGCGGTGGAGTTTGTTACGCGGAGCCGACTGGATGCAACACCCGCTAGCCTATATCCACACAGGCTTGCGCGCTGAGGAAACAGTGTGAAGCGTAATAAATCACCAGTAAGTAAACAAAGATAAACAAAGGTTCCATATTCTCTGTCTATAATTCGTCGGTGGTGAAGTTCCGACTTTCATTAGGCATAATTACTTTTGACAAAATTTTATCAGCATAATCTGGTTAAGCATAACGATTATTTACACTTCTGGACACATCTATTGGCCCACCTTGTATTTTCAGTTTCGTTTGGTCCTAGCTAAAATTTTATATTAGGTTGAGCAAAAAGTTTTTATGCAGTTCACACATTCACAATTTCATTCAATAGTCTTTTTTTGAATTTCGAACACAGAATTTAAAGAAACAAAAGACAATTTGGAGCCTGTTTGTTGATATCAAACAATCGAATACTAAGAAAACTTGGTTTTATTGGTTTACTTGGATTTAATTCTTGAAAAAGTGATTGATATCTTTGGTTTTGCAACAAACATTACTTATTCTTAACATTAAGGTGAGGTTCTATCAATAATCTATGGATACTTCACCTGAAGTCGCCGCCCAAGCAGTAGCACTTATTCAGGCCGGACACAGCCAAAGAAACGTGAGTGCTCAACTTAATTTAAGTCGATCTGCGGTTCGAAATGTTTATCGGAGGTACCTAGAGACTGGCGGCTTTGTTCGTCGCCAAGGAAGGCCACGATCTCGGGTCACAACTGAAAGGCAGGATCGATTCATCATGACGACCAGCTTGAGAAATCGTCATCTTACCTCCATTGAGATACAAAAACAAATTCGCGACTTCCACGGAGTATCTGTGAGCGCTTGAACTGTTTGGAGAAGGTTAAAAGAACGCGATATGGTACCACACAAGCCAGCTAATGGGCCCAAACTAACGCGAGCCCACCGAACAGCGCGCCTTCATTTCGCACGCAGTCATTTAAATTGGACACAGCAAGATTGGAGCCGTGTACTCTTTTCTGATGAGTTTTTTTTTTTTTTTTTTATGCTGAATAGGCAATGCGTTTGACCACAATCTCACCTGATGGAAAGCGATGATGAGGCCTAGGATGGTACACGCCTGCCTAGAAGATGCCTGTTCACTCTGGCCTTGAAGATGTCCAGGTTATATTGGTCCGGGAAAACAGACCTCGGCAAGGAGTTCCACTCCCTAGCCGTTCGTATAATGAAGGCCGAAGCAAATCGCTTCGTGCGAATAGGAGGAACTTCGACAACATAAGGGTGAAAGCCCTCGCCGCGCCTGGTCGTCCGGTGGTGGAAAGGGGAAGGGGGGATCAAATTATGTAATACCTCCGCACACTCTCCGAAATGTAACCGATAAAACACCGAAAGGCAAGCTACACGTCTTCGGTGGTCGAGGCTCTGAAGATTAGCCTCAACGAGAGCGTCATTGCCTATGAGTCTCTTCGCACGGTGTTCCACCGAGTCCAGTGCATCCAGCTGATACCGAGCAGATCCGTCCCAAAGGTGACAACAGTACTCCAAGCAGGAGCGAACTTGGGCTCGGTAAAGGTTAAGGAGCTGCTCAGATGTAAAATATCGCCTGACCTTAGAAAGTATTCCAAGTTTTCTGGCAGCGGTTTTAGCAATGGACTCGATGTAGGGACCGAAATTGAGGCTGGATGAGATGTCCATACCCAAGAGCTCGAGATGGTCTTTAACCGGCACGGAGACATTTCGGAAAGTCGGAGTCAGATGGAATGGACTCCGTTTCGTCGAGAAGAGACAGGCCTGTGTTTTAGAGGGATTGAATCCAACCAAGTTGGCTTCACCCCAGAGGGAAACAGCTTCCAGGGTTGCATTCACTCCCTCCACCATCGCCTCCCCTAATGATCGGACATCTGCATCAGACTTCACATCAGGCAGATATCTCCCCGAAACTGTGCTGTCATCTGCATACTCAAAGATACCAGGAGTTAGGAGCAGATCATTGATGTGCAGCAAGAATAGAGTTGCGGAGAGGACAGATCCCTGGGGGACACCGGCATTAATACCAAGCAGATCCGACGATGTGCCATTAATGACCACTCGTATCGATCTGCCCCTCAGAAAATCTGCAATCCAGTTGCAAAGTCCGACAGCGATTCCATATGAAGGAAGCTTGCCAATGAGACTTGCATGCCAGACCCTGTCAAAAGCCTTAGAAATATCAAGAGAAACGGCGAGAGCTTCGCCGCGTTTCTCTATAGCTTCACTCCATAAGTGGGTAGCATACACAAGAAGATCCCCAGTAGATCGCCCACGGCGGAAACCGAATTGGCAGTCACTGAGGAGATCGTTATCTTCGAGGTAAGCGAGGAGACGGTTGTTCAATACACGCTCCATAATCTTACAGAGTATGGAGGTGATTGCAATAGGTCGATAGTTGGCAGGGTCGGCACGACTACCCTTTTTGGGCACTGGTTGGACATTGGCAAGCTTCCAGGTTTTCGGAACTTGGCCAATCTCAAGGGATAAGCGATACAGGCGAGTCAGAATAGGAGACAACTCAGGGGCACAATTCCGCAGGACAATAGCTGGAATGCCATCGGGCCCACTGGCTTTATTCACGTCTAGAGTGCTTAGCGTTTTTAGTACCTCTTTCTGATGGATGCGAACTTCCAACATGGCAGAAGAACACTGAGGAAGCTTAGGTGGGTTTACGCCAGCAGCATCTAGCTATGAGTTATTCGCAAATATAGAGGCAAACAAGTCAGCCTTCTCTTTGGAGGTGTGAGCCAGCGATCCGTCAGGTTTAATTAAAGGCGGCAGCGACGACAGCCTTGAGTCTAAAATTGTGTTACATGGCAATGATGGAAGGAAGAAGGCCTACCGACGTAAGGGAGAGCGTTTCGCACAATGCTGCTTTGAAGAGAGGGTTGCTTATGGCGGTGGCTCACCGATTTCTCCGTCAATTGTGCTATTGTTTACTTGGACGGTGTAATTTTCACTAAAATGGAAAAAATAAACAAAAAATAAAGCCGACTTCAACTAAAAAGTAAAAAATAATATCTGGTTCATGTTTTGGAAGTCGAGCGGGTCAAAATTGAAAGACGTATTATTACCGATCAGAAACGAAAATCTACTTATTTAATGTTTTAATCTTGACCCCGCTCGACTTCCAAATCATGAACCAGATATTATTTTTTTCTTTTTAGTTCCATTTTCGATTTAGAAGTCGGTTTTATATTTTGTTTATTTTTTTTTTTATTATAATGGAACTTAAAGTACAATGAGCAAAACACACCCAGCTCCGCCAACAATGCAATTAGTATGGATCTTGGTATGGATCGATAGATCTATGAAAAACTAGCCTTTTTTATTATAACACCATAAAAAACATCCTGGTAGTCAAAAGATATGACACATGGACACATTTAAGTAGCTTAATAATTTCATTTTATAGTACCTACATTTTATATTATTAGTAACCGTAATAATATGCCATGCCATATCGTTCTATACAACCAGATATACGACAAAGCCTGCCGACCATCCTTCCCTTGCATTTACTGAGACACCTCAAAAAGGTTTACGGGAATTGAAGGACTTGCAGTTGCAAATAGTCGACTCGTCTTACTCCGTTGTGATTGTGCGCTCCCTGTCACTTGATTGATTTTTTATTACACGATTATCGGTTTTGTCAATTGGTATGGATGAACTGGAATCATGTTTTCTCCGAAGCATGGACAAGTTCGTGTGATTTGTGGTCGCTCCGTTTTACATAGAAGACAATTATTATTTACTATAACGAACAGAATGTTTGGAAAAACCCCAACCCATGGGGGAAATTTTATATTTACTCTAGCGCGTCAGAATAACATAAGGGGGCACCCTTGCACCTTGTGAAGTACTCCCATAATACCTGAGCCCCCTATGTAGGATCGAACTAACTAAATTAATTCCCTTGTTTCATTAATGTTCGTTCGTTATAGTACTTGTACCTATTTAAATTAAAAAAAAATGGATGCGTGTAACTTATGTACGCGCGTAAGAAGTTATACTTCTTTAGCATCATTAAAAATATTTTTAATTGCATGCAAATAATTAATAATTACAATAAAATAATAAAAGGACTGGAAAAGGATAGTTAACACAGTCAATTAAGTTCAGTTTTAATTTGAAAAATTAAATAAATATTCAAAATATTCAATTAAAATCACTACTGAATTTAAGTTATTAGTCCATATGTAATTAGCACTTGTAAGTAACTAAAACACTCTGTGTCTATATAGAAACTAGAAACATGTGGATAAATATTATAAATATGAAAACAGTGATCAGAGGCGACGAGCGTGCCAACATTGTTTTTGACAACGCGATCATCTTATGGAGCTCCGTGGATCGTTCAAAGTACCTTTCGAACAGATGTCTAATAATGGTGGATTATTAACCACTAAGTGGTTAATAATCCACCATTATTAGACACTAATATTCATAACGCGCCCGCGGCCAACTTCATGGTGTTACTATTGCGTTACAGTGATGCGCGCGCATCTTAAAATTTCACTCTCATCATTTTTTCATAACGCGCCCGCGGCTAACTTCATTATGTTACTTTTGTGTTACAGTGATGCGCGCGCATCTTAAAATTTCACTCTCATAATTTTTTCATAACGCGGCTAAAGAAGTATAACTTCAATAACTAAATATCCCCTAGATGGAATTTGATGCGCTTTATCACAGATAATCATGACTATAATACCTTTCACACAAATGTAGTTTAAGCCGTGGCGGACGTGGGTGCAGCGTCCATACATTTTTACCCAATGTCCTTCATGCCTAAGAATGATTCTTGCTTACAAAATTATGAGTTTTGAATGTCTTATAAATGAGAGAATGCCAAATGATTATCTGCGAAATAAAATAAAATTATGTCTTCCGCTGATATGTATGATATTATGACATAAAAGGTGAGACCCCCTTTTTGAAGTACTCGTTATTGTGAGGACAAGGTTTTTTAAGTACCTACTCGTTAGAACGGTGCATTTGACGCTGGCCTTATCCAGACGGATTGTCTGGATAAGGCCAGCGTCAAATGCACCTTTACTATATATACTTTGGCTTAAATCTTGAATTAAAAAATGACCAACTGATTAAGTTTTGTTACAGCAACAAATGGTTTTGTGATTATTACACTTCACAAGTACAATCTATGGACATCATTGAATGAGTCTATATTTTTGATTGGTCATTACTACACAAGTAAATAAACATTTTTCGCAATCAGATAATTTTTCACTTTGTTGAGCAATTAAGTAGCGTAGTTACAACTTTATCGAGAGAGTTATTTAATTTCCTGAAAGTAATGCCATGTACCCACACAAGACGTAACTCAGTAATTATTGAAACCCAGCAAACCACTAACGACTCAAGTTAGTTCAAACTGCTACTTTCGCTATCTAACCAACCTATCCGCCGTAAAATGGACTGATTTATTGACCAGGATGAGAGACTGTTATAAAATTATTACCGATAATTACTTCAACATCGTCAATCTAACTCAACTGGCGCCTAACTTTGTAATTTTATAATATAGGGACAAGCTACAGTTCAAAAGATCTCACTAAATACACAAGTTAAAAATTAAGACGAATCTTTTGATTCGATTCGAATATTTAATAATGTTTCGATTAAGAGATTTACTTTTGTAAATCTCCTAATCAAAACATTGTTAAATACTTGTAGATCAGAGTTATAATAATCGGATTATTTGGGTTATGGGGAATAAAATTCTAATGTTGTTAATTATATTTTAAATTTTCATAAAATAAAAGTAAGTCAGAGTAACATCAACCTGGTTAGCATTGTCTCTAAATTACATAAAATCAAGAAAAGTGTGCGAAAATAAACTCTATAGCGTAAAAAAAGTTAAAAAAGTTATTCAACAATATTTACAAAATTACTAAAAACATCTCATAGATATCATAATAATTATAGAAATGATCACAAAAGAACTCAGATCCAAACAAAAAACGATCATCAAAATTCATAATTGTCGGAATACTTTTGTCCTTTTTCCAGGCGAATCACCTTGCTCTGCTTGCAATGGCAGACAAGTCCGCGGCGTTCTATTCGTGGTAGGCAACGGGAGAAGACTAAAGAACTTGTAGCAAAATCACCCGACCAAGAAAGAAGTATTGCCCTAAATACTTTTATCCTTTTTCCAGGTGAATGGTCACCTTGCTCAGCATCTTGCGACGGCAGACAAGTGCGTGGCGTCTTATGTGTAGGCGGCAACGGGAGAAGGCTAAGGGACAACTCGTGTCGGCTGCCGAAGCCAGAAGCAGAAAGATCTTGTGGCGGCACTTGCGCTCCGACGTGGTACATGAGCGATTGGAGTCAGGTAAGATTGGAGATTTCTCGAAATTTCTTTAACATTCTCTTTCTTCTCCAAGAACTGACTACAGAATCAGTAATGGAAAAGAAGTTGTTTAATTTTTTACTTCATCCTAGAGACATTAAGGGTTTATTACAGTTTTGAGATTTCACGGGCATTACTCAATCAAGCAATTTGCCTGAACCCAATCAAGTGAGGATAGAGTTGCACTTTCTCGCTCCCGCATTGGCAATCCTCGTAGGTAATCTAAAGCCAGAGGTGAAAATATCCTTAGGCGGTACTTGCGCTCCGTCGTTGTACTTGAGCGACTGGAGACTTAGAGTTGAACTCGGAAGGAGCTTGGTAACGCAGTGGCAAGAGCGTTCCATCTGCGATCGTAGAAGTTAAGATTTTTTTTTTAATAACCGATCATAGTGACCGAACGTTACTCATGGTTCATGTTCATAGAGAAGGCCTTTACCCTAACAGTGGAGAACATCAATATTTTATCTGATGATTAAAATTCGTCGCAATTATCGTTTACGACAAAGCCCATTCTCCTTATCATATCCACCAGCAGTGGAGTCACTAATATGCTTTGTAAATAAGATGTACTATCTTCTGTTTCTGGTTTATGCAGTGCTCTGGACCGTGCGAGGCCGGCGTTCAGTCAAGGACAGTGTGGTGCGCGCGGGGCGGTGCAGCAGGCGCGGGGGGAGCTGCACGCGACGCTGAGTGCGCCGGCGTGAGGCCGCCCGCCAAGCGGAACTGCGTGCCTCGCCGGTGCTCCACAACGCCGGTGCTGAGGCCCGCGCCCGACCACACGCCCCCCGGTGAGTGATATACAGAGTAGAGGCGCCGGCGTGAGGCCATCCGCCAGGTGGAGCTGTGTGCCTCGCTGGTGCTCCACCACGCCAGTGGTGAGGCCCGCGCCCGAACACCCCCCCCCCCCCCCCTGAGTGATATACAGAGGTAGGGGAGCTGGCGTGAGGCCATCCGCCAAGTGGAGCTGCGTGCCTGGCCCGCAACTCCACTTGGCGGCGGCTGGCCTGGTGAGGCCCGCGTCCAGCCATTATTCCCCCCGGTGAATGATAGACGAGATGCTGATATTCATATGAAATCGTAGTGCTGATCATACTTTTATAGAAAACTGTAGCCAATTTGCACTATTTTGTACAGATGTATAATATACCTGCAGGTTAAAAAACTACTAAAACGCACTTCACCAGTTTTTTAAATTCAAAAATAATGAATGTTTATGCAATGGCATACAAACGTATAGCGCTAAATAAAAACCTACATACACATAAAAGGTAAAAACTCTTTTCATTCATAATTACTTATGTTCTTACTTTGTGTTCACAGTATCCGATCCACAGCAACGGGTCACGAGACACCAAAGTCATAACACTATTAACAACAGAGAAAGAACTCCAAACGGTGAGTTTTTGTATACAATCCTTAACATATTTTTTTTCCTCCCAGGAGGAAGGGGGGGGGGGGGTTATCTTCATACACTACAGCCGACTACAGGGTTATGTCAGACACCTACTGACTAAAACACACCCATAGGGGGACGCCTATGGCCGTAAGGGTCTTACAGCCTTCATCTGGTGCGATTATCCTCAAAGAAGGTCGAATGATGCAGTGCTAGAGCACAGAGGACTGAGCGACTGAAGGCCTCTTTAGATGAGGGAAGAAGCGGAGAAGGACCCTATTTGTTTCCACGCTGCTTGTACTGTAACCTTATCTTCCCATCTCGTATTAATTTCCCAACGATGAGATTTTAGATGACGAAAATTAACATTTCTATTTGTCTATTCAAAACATAAGTGCTTTAGTTTCTAAAGATCAGGGGTGGTCGTAGGATTGCAAAAAAATATTTCCTCCTATCCACATTACCCAGGGTCTTATAAAAGAGGCGTTAAAAAGTATCTCGCAGGCCGACAAATTACGAATTATTAGTGTGGCAAATGAAATGCTGCAAAAATTATCTTCGCGTAACATAATTCCTCACAAACGTCCGGACCTTTTTCGTTAAAATTACAAAATTTTAAAGACATGTGCATTCGAGTAGCTCTTGACATAATTTTAGATCTATTTTGTGGCATTATGGTCGGATTTCTTACTTTTGGAACGAAGTTCCTTTTCAGACGGTATAGTGGAGGGAGGGCTTGGCGAAAAATTCCGTCACAACCTAGCGCGGCAGCTGGGTGGGTAGCTAGATGGGTAGCTAGGTGGACGACCATTGAGGTTTTTAGTGGGTAGGCCTCTGGGGACTCATCAAACGAAATTCCGTTGAACGTATCCTCGGAGGAGAGTCCTACATAACATCCCTGCTCGTCAGGCAGCGGGGTATGCATCATGAATTTTCCCCACGGTATAAAAAAGGCGACCATTGACGGCGGTGGATGTAGACGGTTTAAATTTTTTGTTTAATAGTATTACTGAATCAGTGGGTAGGATACTTTTAAAAAGGAAAAGGGAGATTGGGCCATGACTCGCCACCCGGGCCCAGTGCGAATGGCTGAGTCGTAAATAAATATTTTTAATTCATTCCCACCAAGTGTTAAACGACACTCACGCATTTTATTAGTTTAACAGTAGGTACTAGAGAGCAGATGTGTAAGTACGTCCTTCGTCGTTTGCTGCGTTTTATCACCAACCGTTCAACCATCTATTATTCTCAAGCGGTTACTCCTCCGTCATCTTTCTCTCTTATATATCTTGTACCTTTCACTCACTTCTTACGTTCCATTTTACAATACCACTTATATAATTTATGACAAAAAAACGTCATTTGTCCCACAGGCTCTTGTGTGGACAAGTTAAATAACTGCGTATTGGCGGTTCAAGCGAGACTGTGTCACTACGCGTATTATGCCGAGTATTGCTGTCGCGCCTGCCATGGGAGGGCATAAGGTAAACCAATTCATAAAATACCACATATCAACATTATCAGTCAATTAATGGCCCCATTGTAGGAGCATATAGACCTTGTCTCTATGGATGGAATAAGAAGAGCCATGAACCACCCTACGGTCCAGTGCGCATGTCTGTGCTAACGACTGCAGATTCAGCCGCAACCAACGGTTCCTTCCAAAGCAGAGTTCAAGTTCATAAATTTTTGATCAACTGTCCGATGACCGGCCATTGCAAAAGTAGTCTCACTTCCACGATCGCAGGATGAAATGCACTTCCACCATTGAGCTACAGTAATACATTAAGTAATTAAAAGGAATTTACAAAATTTATTGTTACTGGCCACTTTTATAGGTAGACCGCTTAACTGAGTCCTCGCCTGCGGGGTGAATGGTGTGGGGGAGGACGAGAACGGGAGCCGTGAGAGGTGCGGGCGGCAGGCGCTTGTAATTTTGACAAGAATGTGCCTGCCACCCGCACCTCTCACGGCCCCCTTGCTCCGCAGACGAGGACTCACTTAAGCGGTCTGCCTATAATGTAATGACAGCGTTTTGTAAATGTAACCACCTATTTGTTCAATGTTGTGGTAGTTTCTTTCGTCTGTTCTAATCCACAACAAAGAAGTCCAGAACTGTTGGTAAGATTTTGTACTAACTGGGAAATTTTAAATTTAGATCACTTATAGTAAGACAGAAAGCGAATAGGGTATTTGACAGTATTAAAAATAAAGTGCCATTTGTTAGCATCTGTGTTTAGAATGAATATTGGTAGGTGTTTTTACTATTTTTACAAAAAAATATTCATAATTTTACTAAAAACCCACGAAAAGGATAATAGTTTTCTTATCTATTGACACGTGACCCAAAACGCTTGGGATTGGCGGAGCCTAAAATGACGTCATACGCAAGTAAACTTCCGCTTAAAGTGACATTACATTGTATCGTTCGACGTTTTAATAACAATCGTGTGACGTCACACACTATTAATGCGCCATATTGTCCAGAGAAACGTATTCGCGGCAATTTGAAAATGGAGTTTTGATTTGGTTATTTTTACTGAAATTCACAACAAAATGATGAATATCCACATTTTACGGACTGCATAAACATTAGTCAATAACGTGAGATCGTTTTCTAAAACTTGTCAAATGCCCTATTCTAAACCTTGTTATAGAGTGTTGATTTTTTTTAGTAAAATTTTCTTTACATTTAAACATCTAGCAGTGATAGATTATTTTTATTTAATTATTATTTTTATACACAGATAGTTGCTACACCGCTCGGGCGATGGACCACGTATTGTGAATTTGTGATACAAAATATGGACCCATAGTGAGAATACGTAATCTACAAGAGAATGATACAACGCCCGCTCAGTGTCTATAACGGTTAAAATTGTGAAACGTAATATGATAAAGACGTCGCTAAAAACGCGGAAGAAACTTTATAAATGAAAGAAGCGTACAGAAGAATACTGCGCGCATAAGAATGACATATTTTGTTTCACATAGACCCATTCTCGCGCTTTGGGCGCCTGTCATACTAAGTAATATAGTATAGCGCCAAGATAAGTCCCTTATTAGTACTTAAATAATGTAACTTTTGTCAACTATAATTTTCTGTTCATGTTAAAACTTTAAATTGAATTTACAGACTATGATTTAAATCTTTAGAATCTGCGACCATTATAATTATTAAATCAAATTATTTAAGCTAGAATGTGTACTGCGTGATGTAAGATTATAGTGAAATAGGTACAATAACGATTTTATTTCGATACAAAACTATGAATAAATATAACTTCACTATTCCAATTGGCAAATTTATTGGTAATTATAATATTAATGTATGATAAATAATGACTTAAACATTATCAAGTGACATATGATGATGACTTCATCATTATCATACATTTCGTCTGCACATTACCTTTTTCTGAATAATAACTATATCAGTATTATTTATATAATAATCTCTTCTACTTTGAAAATCTCGTCAGAGAATTATTTTTATGGGAAATTATAGAATTCGCATTAGAAATTATAGCATCATCTTTAAATGAGAAAGAAAGGGTACTTACAATTTTAAGCAAATAAAAATAAATATGTATTTTAATGCAAAGATTGATCATAAAACTTAAAATTACACAGAATATATAATTTATCTAAGATTTTTACCTAGAAAAGTCTTTATAGATACATACGAACTTACCTATCTTAAATTTTGGTTGAGGATTATATTGGTAAGGGAAAACCATTACTCACCGTACCTTCGATATTTATTCTATACGATTTTGTACCTTGGATATTTATTCTCTATCTATATGAGTTTATAAACAGGGACACCGCATAGAAATTCAATATGAAAAATTGTTATAAACCAAGGCAAACTTCATAAGCAACAACCATGGGCCTGCGCAGTAGCAATTTTAAATACAAAAACGTCTACTGCGTAAGTTTATTTATCTTTGGATTTTCACAAGAGGCTACTCGTACCTACCTACTTCGTGCGATGTACCTACGCCAATAGTTAAAATCGTAGGTTTCAATTCAAGAAGACAACATTAACGTTTATTCTAAACTATTATGTATGTAATTTTATATCAAACCTCTTTTGTGTCTTCGATGTTAAGATTTAATAGAGTAAACATTTTATCAAGCGGAAAAAAAGATAGTATTCAAAGTCCTAGATTATTCTTATCTGCTATTATTTTAATCGAATTTCCTGTAAAATAAAATCAAATGTTGTGGCAATTGATCGGTGCGTTGTATTATACGAAAAAAACGTGTTTTTGTAGTGTTTTAGGTATTAGTAATGTGATCTCCCGACGTCAGTCGAGTTGAGTCGATCTGTGGATTAGCAATAGGCAAACTTTTAATATAAAGAGTATCTACACCTAAATACCTATGTATACCGATTGCACCAATAATGTTTGGCACTGTATTGTACTCTACCCGTTTGATTCGAGTTAGCTGTCAATGACCGTTACAAAATGTGTCACAGGCCAATCACAGGCAGGCACATCAACCGGTACCGTCGTCCAATAGGGTCGCTTCATAAAGTCTGTCCAGAAGCCCGGTGCGATGAAGCAGGGAGGGTGGGGGTGGCCAACTCGAACCTAACGCATAGTACATGCCGTATGGACTAACAATCTTTTATATGGGCTCACCAAATATACACAGTACAATTTGAAGAATACTTAAGGAAAAAAACTTTAATACAGGGTTATGTAGACGCCAAAATAGTTATAAAGAAATCGTTTATTAAATTATAACAATTTCTGAGAATAGGACGTGCCATATTATGTGCAAAAAATATCTGCACCAATCTGAGAGAGTTTTTTCGTAATTTCAATTTCGTCCATTGCAATAGATGGAAATCGGACATTCAAGTAACTAACTATGTCATAAATAATACTTTTAAAAGAAAAAAACAGAGTTCTTACTACGAGCGCTTACCTAAAACTTTTTTTACCCAACTTCTAATTTCTTACGATCAAAATGCTACTTTAATAAAAAGAATATCACTTGGTATTCCAAAATTAAGAAATAAGGTTCAAACAATATTGTTATTAGTGCTTGTGGTAAGGCCGTGGTTGGTGAAGATGTCACATCACGACCAATTGTAAATAAAGCGATTAATTAATAACTTGACACGTAACTTGTAGTTTAATCCTGTAACATGAAAACCAATTGCATTGAAATTGGACAGTTATCAAAATATGATTACTTTTCAAGTCAAAGAGCAACACGGAAGGGAGTAGCCATAGCGACATAATATTATTCAAATCATTTTGGTTTTTTTTTGCGGGGGGGGGAATATGCACGCAAATGCAGTTTAACGTACACGCGTATAAAGCAAAACTGTAATTACGGTACTCACACATAAACAATGACACAATATATCTTCAAATACTGCACACATGTATCTTTGTATGCCCAACTAGACAGAGGTGAAAGCTGTGTATGCCTAGTCCGCTCCTGCGCGTGTCGGCCGTGTTGCTCTATGATTTAGTTCATTGTTTTCTATTTCAAAAAGTTCGCCATCTATTCTTTGTGCAGAAACAATAGTAATAGGTATACAACGGTCAAAGTTTTCCAACTCTTGTGCTGTATTAAAAGCTTTGTACGTAAGGTACTGAATTAATTACTCTTCACATTTTGAATTATAAATAAATTGTCAAAATAGGCTAAGCACACAGTTGATAAGACATAATAGCGTAAAATAGTTTTTTTTTCTCCCATCAAAATACACTTTGAATATTTTCTAATAGGCTATAATTATAAATGTAAGAACGAATAGTATTCTCTACATAATAATTTAAACAACAATGTTAATTGAGTTCAAAAAGTCATTTGATCTTGACAATAAATCTAAAAATAACAAAAAAAATGTTCAAATAACTTTTTGAACAGTATCATAGTATCTATGACAAATGTTGATTAATATAATTTATTTTGCCGATAATATCAAAGAGTATAAATTAGGCGTAGAAACAAATTGTAAATAATTAATTTTATATATATTATGTATAGTGCATTTACTTACTGGCTGTTAAGTATTTATATGAGTTAGGTAGATCATTGAACCATCACAACAATTAGATTTAGTAATTAGAATCACTGCAGTCCACTTTATTGTATTACTCTGTGTACTAATGACGCGTATAACATTGTACAAAAATAATAAGCTTTAAAACACTATGTTGTTTTCTTTAAAAAAACCTTATTTTAATCGAAACCTATCTAACCTTAAAAATATGTAAGGAAATATCTCATTTAACATTGTAGTTTATATATACACTTCTGGACACATCTATTGGTCCACCTTGTATTTTCAGTTTCGTTTGGTCCTAGCTAAAATTTTATATTAGGTCGAGCAAAAAGTTTTTATGCAGTTTTGAACCTGGCACATTCACAATTTCATTCAATAGTCTTTTTTTGAATTTCGAGCACAGAATTTAAAGAAACAAAAGACAATTTGGAGCCTGTTTGTTGATATCAAACAATCGAATACTAAGAAAACTTGGTTTTATTGGTTTACTTGGATTTAATTCTTGAAAAAGTGATTGATATCTTTGGTTTTGCAACAAACATTACATAATCTTAACATTAAGGTGAGGTTCTATCAATTATCTATAGATACTTCACCTGAAGTCGCCGCCCAAGCTGTGGCACTTATTCAGGCCGGACACAGCCAAAGAAACGTGAGTGCTCAACTTAATTTAAGTCGATCTGCGGTCCGAAATGTTTATCGGAGGTACCTAGAGACTGGCGGCTTTGTTCGTCGCCAAGGAAGGCCACGATCTCGGGTCACAACTGAAAGGCAGGATCGATTCATCGTGACGACCAGCTTGAGAAATCGTCACCTTACCTCCATTGACTCCACCTTACCTCCATCGCGACTTCCACGGAGTATCTGTGAGCGCTCGAACTGTTCGGAGAAGGTTAAAAGAACGCGATATGGTACCACACAAGCCAGCTAATGGGCCCAAACTAACGCGAGCCCACCGAACAGCGCGCCTTCATTTCGCACGCAGTCATTTAAATTGGACACAGCAAGATTAGAGCCGTGTACTCTTTTCTGATGAGTCTAAAATTGTGTTACATGGCAATGATGGAAGGAAGAAGGTCTACCGACGTAAGGGAGAGCGTTTCGCACAATGCTCATGGACTGTCTGGGGCGGTATATCCGCGAGCGGCAAAACTCAACTTGAGGTTGTTACAGGACCACGGCTGCCAACATTAAATACTGAAAGGTACATTCGTGAGTGCTTAGAACCTCACGTGATACGCGGACTATGTGGGCACAAATTTCCTTTTTATGCATGATAATGCAAGAGCCCATGCGGCCGGCATCGTCAGGGAATATCTTTGGGATGTGAACATCACAGTTATAGACTGGCCAGCCAGAAGCCCAGACATGAACCCCATTGAGCACATGTGGGACGAACAAAAAAGACGTGTTAGGGCTCGTCAGCCAGTTGCCCAGACGATGCAGGAGTTGAAAACTGCCATAGAAGAGGAATGGGAGATGATCCCTCAAAATTTCAGAGAGCGATTGATTGATTGATTTAAACTCTATGCCTAATCGTATGAGAGCTATGGTAGATGCCCATGGAGGCAACACGCGTTATTAAATTAAACCTTTATTTGATAAAACATGTTTTTTATTCAAAAATCAATTGCCTTTAACAAGGCGCATATCCGACTTGTTAGGCGTAGCTCCATGTCGTATGGTATTCTGAATTCAAATTTAAAACAATACGATCGAAAAAGATGGTAAAATGTATCAGTATTTTTGTTCAATCTAGCAATCTTATTTCGGTAGGGGCCATCGAAACCTAAACTCTAAGGTGGGCCAATAGATGTGTCCAGAAGTGTATATTACCCATATTTTAAAATGGTGGCGTTACTTTGCAGCCTTCATAAATTACGAATAAAAGTTTATAGTATGTATGTACTTGGAATAAACTCTCATTGCCAATGCCATTTGTACGTGGCTGGTTTTGATATCATTAAAAAGTTTAAATTTTAAAGAAAATTCCAAATTCAAATTAAAAAATTGTGTGATTTTCATTTGTTTTTATTACTGTTAAGATGAGTTAATCAAATGAGTAAATTCGATACATTTTAAAATGTTACTACAAAACGGTAAAATTGCAATGCCAGCCGTAAACAAAATTTGTGGTGTTTATGGACCTAGTGCAGTGTCTGTGAGAGTAGCACAAATTTTGTTTAGGCGTTTCAATCCGGAAATTTTGATGTCAAAAATGCACGTGACTCTGGTCGCCCTGTTACGGATAAAATGAATGCCATTTTTGAAAAAGTGGAGCAACATCTCCATATCAGTATTACGACGTAACTAAAGAACTGGGAATTGACCACCAAAACAGTTTTGGCGCATGTGAAAAAAGTTGGGTACACAAAACAGCTCGATATTTGGGTGCCTCACTGAAAGAAACCCAATGAACCATTACTCATTTGCGATTCTTTATTACGATCTAATGCAAAACCATTTTTGTAGAAGCTGATAACTGAATAAAACTAGTTTTAACGGTTTACCGCCGAAACTTTATTTCTTTATTAACGTTTCACAGCCTTTTCAGATCTGCATCGTCAGAATACTGATTTTTTATTTAATTTTGTCCTTTTAAGTTTTTAAAAAACAAAAAAAAAATAAAAAAAATAGTATTCTGACGATGCAGACCTGAAAAGACTGCGAAACGTCAATAAATAAATAAAGTTTCGTGCATTAACCCGTTAAAACCAGTTTTATTTAATGAGTGATGTGCGTGAAAATCTAAGAAACAAATAGGCTGATAACTGGTTATGAGAAGATCACGTACGACAAGAACGTGCGAAAAAGATCGTGGTGGTTGTGGTCAAAGGCCGGTCAGGCTTCACAGACTCTGTCGGAATCCGGGTTAGCTCGTAACAATCTGATGCTGTGTATATGTTGTCTGTCTGATGCTTGGACCGCATGGAATTGTTTCTAGTATAATTTTCTTTAGATATGTTGATATGTAGCAGATAAATTTGGTTATAAAGTTTTTATGTGTCAAGGTAGTAGTATATTTATGTATTTTAATTAGCCTATCTATTAAGAAATCGACAAAATATTAGTGACAAAAATATATTCACTCGATATACTTACCAACTGATAGCTGTGGCTCTGATAAAATCTGTCAGTGAATTGTTTACAGGGAAAAAATATATCCTGATAACTTTAATCGTCTCACACTTACAAGACAAAAAATATGTTTATCAAGTATTAGTATACAGAAAATTAATCGCAATTTTGCTGTCTATATAATTTGTATATTTTTTTAAGAATCTTTTATTAATTGGAACTTAATCAGAAATAGAAAAAACCATAGACCTATCTCGCTGCTGAACCACTTCTACAAGTTGTAGAAGTCAGAGTCATTACGAAACGTCTCGTTAATAGGTGAAACGACTTCCTCCTCCCGAACAAGCCGGATTCCCTAAAGTTTTTAGCACCATGGACCACATCCACATGCTGCGGCAGGTTATACAGAAAACCGAGGAAAATAATATACCACTATGTTTAGCATTTGTGAATTATGAGAAAGCCTTTGATTCGGTGAAGACATGGGCTGTGTTGAGATCTTTGCAGAGGTGCTGTATCGACTATCGCTACATCCAAGTGCTCAAGAGTTTGTACGAAAGCGCCACCTTGACAGTCCGCATACAAGACCAGACTACGAGATCTATCAAACTACAGCGAGCATTGCGACAGGGAGGTGTAATCTCCCCAGGCGGCGGAGAAGGCGGCGGCGTTTAGCCCACCCCCTTATCCGGTAGTCCACCCGTGAACCAAAAGTCCTTTTAAGGACCACACATAAAGGCCCTCTTTAGGGCCACAGGAGGGGTGTATCGCGCAAATCACGTGAAGCCAATGGGGGGCGGGAGAGGACGGAGAGAACTACGCTCTCCCTCCCACTCCCGTGAGAGGCGCGGGCCTGTCCTGGGCGAGGACGGGCTCGCATTGCACAAGCTCTCTTGATGCTGATGCCCCTAATTCTCCAGGCATCTTCATCGGGGCGGGTCCAGCAATAGCAAACACCGGCGGATGCGTGGCCAATTTGAAATCAGGTGCTACGACTACATACATATTACCGCTGCGTTGGAAGACTTCTTTAAGCTTTTGGATAAGATAAGTAGTCAACTTGGGTAAGTCCAATTTCGAGAAAGAAGTAAACCGCCGAATCCATCTCAGCTGGGCAGCTTTCAGGAAACTTCGCGATGACTTCTCGTCCGAAATACTTAGTGCCTGAAGACCAAGGTTTTTGAACAGTGCGTATTGCCAGTAATGACATACGGTGCTGAGACGTGGTCGCTGACAATGGGCCTCATAAGAAGGCTCGGAGTCGCACAGCGAGCGACGGAGAGAGCTATGCTCAGTGTTTCTCTACGTGATCAAATCAGAAATGAGGAAATCCGTAGAAGAACTCGAGTAACCGACATAGTTAAACGGATCGCTATGCTGAAGTGGCAATGGGCGGGCCACATTGTCCGGCGAACCGATGGACGTTGGGGTCCTAAGGTGGTGCTTCAATGGGGACCTCGCACCGCGAAGCACAGTGTCGGTAGACCCCTTACCAGGTAAACTGACGACATCAAGCGAGTCGGGGGGACCCACTGGATGCGGAAATCTCTGGATCGTTGTATTTGAAGATCCCTGGGGGAGGCCTATGTCCAGCAGTGGACGTCCATCGGCTGATTATGATGATGAATCAGAAATATACCTTTCTTGTTGTTAAAAACTATTTAGTAACTCCAAATTTACATACCTGGCAACATTAATCGTTACTCGTATGTAAGTAACCTCATATTATTTACTTCTCAGATTTATTCCTTCTACTAACCTAGTTTAGTCCAGGCAACGAATGCTCAAAAACAGATATAGAGGGAAATGCTTGGAACACAATTTTTGACTTCGTTACTTTGTTAGGACTAGTTAGGAGGTAAACATATCAAAAGTCCCCGCCCTTAGCCCTTAAGCCGGGGAGGGGGGGGGGGGGGGATTGAAGGTCCCATTTTTAGGTTTTTAGCATATATCAGAAAAGACCCCTGCTGCTTTCTGGATTTCTGGTGACTTGATAATGTCTCTGGTCTCTGGGAAGGGAGGAAAATTTCTCAAACCAATCGGTGAGCTTGGCAATGTCAGCTCCATCCTTGTTTTGGCGGGCTTGTCCGAAATCTGCATGCTGCTCACTGGTGGAACCAACAACCTTACGGCCGGCATTGTTGAAGAGTTATCCGGTCAAATAGAGCAAAAATGTGAAGCAAATTTTTTTTTCCATAATTACTGACTTTTAAGAGCGGATATCTCGAAAACTATACAAGATATATGCGAAAAACCTAAAAATGGGACCTTCAATTTTTTTTGACTCACACGTACGAATTCGCAGCATTGGAAATAACTACGGGAAACTCTGGTGTATATGATTCGTGATTCATAGTTCCGCTACAGTCGATGGTGGCATTCGTGTATTGTAATCTTAGTACATGATCATGATCGATCAGTTACCTATTTAATTATGAATTTAGTTATCATTTTTTAATTATGAATTCATGAAATATTTCGAAACTTACTTATACTGCCCTTATCAGGGCAATATACGTAAGTTTCGAAATATGTGCCCTTATCAGGGCAGTATAGTAGTTGCCGAAGGTACATTATTATCGCAAATACGTAACAGACTTTATCAAAATCGCTGATACTATCTACATTTCGGATAATCGCAGCCTATACAGTACAGAACAATAATTCGTGCATAAAACAACTTGTTCAGTATCCCCAAGTGAAAAAAATAAGGATTTATAAAAATATCACAATGACGGTCTCCGACGAAAGTGGTCCGGCAATAGTGAAGCTTTTGGACATTGTGAACACAATAGCAACCGTGGCGATCGGTGGGCTTGCAATGGGGGGCCTGTTAACCGCTACATTATATTCATCGACCATACTCAGCAACTTGTCTACACATATTTTTCTTGTCACATTTGGGGTAAGATTTGGTTTATCATCTGTCTATAAATCTTCACGCCGTTTTTTACTGTTAAAAAAGGATGGCAAACAAGAATGTGACCCCAATGCGGTCACAGGAAGCGGTACCATAGCCTATACACGCTTGTGATATCAAAAATACCCCGTGGAGCCCTGGCACCTTACTCACTGGCAGAAACACAAAACCACCAAAAGTTAGTATTATTTTACTATGGTCTTCTGTAAGGTGGAGATTACTCTCCCTTAAGGGTGCTCCAATTAGAGCGGGAAATTCGCTATCCCTTCCCGGGTGGGTTAGGCAGGGAGAATAGAGCGCCATAAGACACAGTCCATACACACATATTTCGCTTCATTCACATCGTCTCATACACCTACCACCTATGTCACATACCCTCAAAATCTCACTGTCTTTCACAGGAAGAAAGAGTCGCCTTTTTTACTTCCACATGACGCACGCGGTCTACTCACACCAATTAGCATTTTTTTTCGATGACGGGGAGAAAAAATTCATTATATCCACGACAATGACCAACGCCACGTTGACTTGCAACAGCAACTTTTAACGTTAACGTTTGTTAACAAACAAACCCACACCAATTTGCATAGCTCCAAAGTAAGCACTGTAAGGCTTTTGTTATGGGATACTGGGGTAACGGATAGAATACATATACAGTACATAAATTAGTATATTTATATAGAAATACATATTAAACATCCATGACTGGAGTATGCGTATATTATATATACTGGAGTATATTAACAAATTCGCGTATTCATCACACAAACATCTACTCCCACCGGGATTTGAATCCGGGATGTCTAGAGTCGGCGACACCATGAGACCCAGCGTACAAACCACTCGGCCAGGGAGGTCGTCAGTATGCAGAGCCAACTACGCGTTCACTGGAATGCCATAGAAATACTTTTGGCTACTTTAACGTTTCTTTTTGTTTTCAGTATATCTTAATTATAAGCCAAGCTGTGGTTTCCATGAACCCTACAGCCGGCTGGGCTCGAGCATTCAGTTATCAGAACAAACGGATGATACATTTATGCATGCAAATAATAGGATCTATCTTGGCAATAGCCGGTGCTGCTATGGGCATGAGGTTAAGGAATTCCTTCGGAACATCTAGAACCCCCCACGGTATTATGGGTGAGTATCTCAATTATTTATTTACCACGTGATAAGAATTAAAACAAAAAAAAGTTATACTGACAAAACAAATCGTTGTAAAACTGCGGTCAGTAGTTAATAAGATAAGTTGCGACAAGATATTCTCCCGAATCGTAATTTTCAATTCCAGTATCCCAAGCACAAACTTTGACAGATTCGTATAGCCATCGTCAATGTTTCTACGGAAAAAGCCTTAGTTGTTGAAAAGTTTGTTTTGACGTTCGGTAGCGGCGCTGCTTAGTTTCCAATGGTTTCCATGGAAACTTAGCGTATTGGCGATATGAATACGCACCTGTCAAATTTCGTGCTTAGGGTATAGAAGTAAACGTGATGTTTCTACCTCATCAATTTCTCAAGCTCATTGCATTGATCTATACCGGCTCATTACGTTAACTCAAAATTGTGCTATTCTATGTTCTCTCTATGAATTGGCTTAACTGAACTCAGCCAAATAAGACTCACGGTGCGTGCTCCTCTGAATAAAAAGGGATGGAGGGATAAGGCTGGATAACTCGTCAAAACGCTCTCCGTGGTACAGTCGGTAGTACACAGGACCGCATTGACGTTTTGTACAATAAGCACAGTTGATCAGGCGTGATAAAACGCCGCACGCCGAGTTTTCGTGAAGCTGTTTTGATCATGGTCTCAATGTAGGCTTTTAGATTCAGGTCTGAGCGAACTTTCATACCAAGCCATGGTGATCTTGCTTGCGTGTTGTGCCCTGAAGAGAAGGAAGGGGAAGGAATTGCGATGTTTTTGCCGTGAAAGCGCAAACCTGGGTTTTCTTAACATTGAACTCAACCAAGTTCCTGTAGTGGGGTACAGTTCGGAAATGTGTTCCAAAGCCTGATTGAGTTCAGTGACTAGATTCTCCCACTTCTCCTTGGTTTCTATCTGTCAAGCTGCTGCGTGTCCGAAGTATACCGCATGCACTGTATTATCGTCCGCATAGCAATGCATATTCCCGAGAGGAATGAAACCCTTCGCCCTGCCAGCCCTGAGGACCACTGGCATTCATTGACGTGAACTGCTACCTATCTACAATGCGAGGAGATGGCGCTGCCTCGCAGCCTAAGGCTCGATAAAAATTCGACACGGCCGTCAGGGCCGCGATAGCATAATGGTCAGTGCATTCGCCCGGATAGCTGAGGTTTAATTACCCAAATTATGAGCCTACTTGACGATAGAAGCGGTGTCATTGTTAGCGCTCTCACCTATCATTATCAAATTGATTATATTATGTAGGTAGGTAAAGCCACAAAAACCGGCGGGCGTGTATAAAAATGGTGAATGAGAATGAAGCGATAGATGCATCCGTTTGTAAGGAACGAATGCGAATTCTACGCTCATGCAGGAAGTCAGCCACCCAGGCACAGAACTGAGCAGTTAGACCGTATGCAGCTTAGAGAGAAGGCTTTGTTCTGTTGTCAAGTTTTTGGTCACCCATCCATCCAATGAGCGGGCATTATAAAATTTGCTTCACTCTTACGATCGTAGATCCAACGATCTAGCCAGCCAGGCAACCATACAACATCAAGCTTCTCATGTAATGTCTATTTATAAGTATAAATAAATAAAACCAAATTAGTCTGGATTTGTGTCATCTGTAATTGCTTATTTACATTGTCTCCTAAATAATAATTAAATACACTTATAGTCGCACTCCGTGATGGCAATTAAAATTCATGTTTAATAAGTCACAAGTTTCATTATTTCCTTGTCGTAAAGAAAGTAACAGGATCAATTCTAAACATTTCTGCTTGCAGACATTACAAACTTAAATAACATTGAAAACTAATTAGAATTTATATCTTATTTCAAAATAATTCAAACTAATGGAATCCAAAGCTAAAATTGTGAAGACATTTTATAGAGCCTACTAAAGTACCTAATCACAAATAAATTGTACCCTATTTTCTCAAAAGTTTCATCTTATTATTTCTTAATAAACCTCTTGAATTTTATAAACAGTTCATGAGTATACCTACATTTTGTACAAAAATCAAATAAACCTTCGCATATTAATAATAAATTAGGTATAGTTGAGTCCCCGACAGTGTTTAAAGTTTTTTACAAATTCCCTTTAATCAGTATTATCCATGTTTTTGGATTCGTAGGTCTTACCACGAATCCTTAAACATAGATTCGACTGTATTAGTATTTGCCAGCGACTTCGCAATTATTAAATTCTTCAATATGTAAATACTCGGAGAATCGCTTGGGTATGTACTCGAACGTATATCTTGTCGTCACAATACTTATATTATTTTTGCACTTAAAATCAGAGTGTTCTTTTGTATCTAGTGCTATTTGTGTAAGTGCTTTTAGAACCCAAAGTTCAAACAACGCTTAACGTCCAATCCAAAATGACAATAACAAAGAAAAAGTTATAAAGTATATAAGAAATTTTTAAAAAGGCACCAGGCAAAGCGTCCATGTGAGAGAGCGCTAATGGCATTTTGAATTACCTAGTCATATTAAAATCTATACGAATAAAATAATTTTGTAACCTTCAAAACAAATTATTAAATCGAGGCGCTGTTGCGAAAGCTTAATTGAAAATTAATAAGCTACGCCGGTGCTACGCAAAACTACGGCGCAAGACATTGTATTGAGAAGAACCGGTAAGAAACTGATAACAATAAAAAGCGCGCGCTTCCCAAACTTCCTGTTACACACTTCCGTCCCACTTAACGTAATCACTCCCACAAATTGCACGAAAGCGAGAGGAAAGATGTTACACATCAATAAATAATAATAATAATGTAACAAAGAAACTTTATTTTCCAAACGTTATATTAGCAACGTACAAGTGTGTACCTAGGTACTTTAAATTCGATAAATCAAGATAGTTATTGTGAACTTCGTCGTAATATGTCCAATCTACGAAACTCAGAACTAAGTACTTAACAACTTATGTAAGTTAAAGTACGCGGCAATCACGATATATTGAAGAGCACAGACCCTGATACAAAATTACATTAATAATATAGTTTTCCGAATCATACTAGACACTTTTATGGGTTGTTACAAATTGTCAAAAAAATAATTCAATGGTAATATAACAATGTTCATAAAAAAGTACCTACCCATGATTGCTTTTCTGTATTACTTTAATTTGTTCGAAAAGGGACTAAAAATACCTTAGAAGTGAGTGACATATAAATTTATCTTCCATTACATGAATCGCAGCAATTCTTTACATAATAATTATAATGGCACAGGCGCGCTTGGACGGCTAGGGCGCAATTTGTGAGCTTGTCTTTGCAACCTGCAATAAAGATAAATAGGTACATTAGATGATTTAAAATAGATTTCTAGAATGGTACAAATGTAAGAAAACCTGATGAGATTTTCTTGCGAACTAACGCAGAGGGCTAGAGGCATTGCAGGGCGACTATAAACCCTGTCTTATTGCAGTTTTGTTATTGACTAACAGTTATTTGTTATATACATAATATACATATATGTTTCTTTTATTGTCACTTAAATAGATTGTTCTACTATCTAAGATGACAGATCAAAGACAGATCGCGGGCTGTTTCTATCACAGAATAATGACTATGCATCTAATTAGAATACATGAAATAAAGCAAATTGTTAACCTTTCGATGAGGGTTTGGTAGTAGTGGTGACGAAAGTTGTAGTTGTAGGTGTGGTCGTGAACACTTTATGTGATTCTGAAAAAAATATGTGATAACGATGAGTTGACAAAAAAAATCTCAAAATTATACAGCCAGCACTTTAGCGTAATTTCGGTAAAAAACTATCAAGAAACTCGGAAGGTTTTTTTATTAACTTTACATTCTTTCATCAGTTATTCCATTCAGATAATTTGGATTCGAATTTTCTTTTATTACATTAATTATTAAAAAGATGCTCGAAGATTTTGGAGAGAAGAGCACGTCACTGCTGTTATTATTATAGAAATGAACAAAAGTAATCATCATAGGACATACAACAGTAAGTACATAATATAGTAACGGAAAAGAGATAACAAGATAAGTTCAATCATTATTAAGATAAAACTATGATAAAACAAAAATGGTACGACATTCTTCGTGAATCAATTTATCGATCGCTGAGTAAACCGTTAAGTACTTATATGTCATAGGGACTTTTCACACGATCTTTATTTATAAAATATTTTTTATAAAGATTATTATGGTACTCGTATATTAGCCTACTATTTAAATTTTCATAGTTTATACGGCCCTTCTTTATAATCTTGGCATAATACTACAACTTCCTCTTCGTTGAGCTGTCATTCGCCGCGAAGGTTGTCTGGAAGAGATCGCTTAAAACAAAAACGGCCGCCTTTGCCCAAATTATTGTTTTTTTATTTATGTTCCTTTGAATGTGAGCAATGAAGAATTTTATCTAACTATTTATTTGCAGTCACCCCATGGGCTTGTTTGGTAATAATTTTCGATAGGTAAGTATTCACCGTGTACATTTGAATGAAATACAGATATATGTATCTTAATTTAGTTTCTGGTGCTATTAACAATGATTTTATACACAAAAGACTATATTTCTCGCAATCCATTTTTCTTTAAAGAAAGTCTTTTAAACAACTTATAATAACATAAATAGGTGTATGTAATAGGTAATACTTTTTGATAATAATAGTTTATAAGGCCAAATAAACATAGTAAAACTCATTACGTATTAACGTTTATCATGAAGGTAACATTTGCCAGTTTATCTACATCGACAAAATATCCTATTGAATCATGTATTTACATTGTGAATACATTTGTTTTTGTCGTTTTTGTCCCTCACCTACGGTGCTACAAAACTTATAATTTTATATTTTTTTATTTGTACAGATATTAATTGAACCACTCGTGTATGCAGATTGACTTCTGTACCGATCTGTTTTGTGTGGAAACGTTGTTTGATTGTTTGAATCGTGGGCGCCGCGCTCTTTCACTTTGTGGATTCCAAAAAAACACAATATTATGATGATCCTTCCAATATTATATTGTTACATTAAATTTTGATCGGAAATTCGTACAAACTAAATTCATGTCAATGAGGAGGGACGATCGATATACGCGTTCTATTAGGACAGACATGTATTAATACAATGTTTAAAAAATATACATACTATTGTCTAAAAACCTTTATTTTCATGTTACTGTTCAGTGTTAGCTCTTGACGAGGTCATAATTAGGCGTACAGTACCCTTAGTACGAGTTTTACAATTACGAAAACTATGATAGTTTTCGTAAGCACAAACTTGTACTAAGGGTACAGTTGGTCTGTTGTGTCACTGTTTATCCCTCCATACTAATATTGTAAATGCGAATGTGTGTATGTCTGTCTGTTATTCACGCTTAAACCGCTGACCCGACTAACTGGTACAGATTCAGTTTGAGTTTCGGAAAAAGACATAGGATAGTTTTTATCCCAGAAATCATGATTTAAGAAAAGGGGGACTGTAAGTTTGTATGGGAAATCCATTATCCCACGCAGACGAAGAATCGATACTAAAATAAGTAATACTATACCAATAGGTATGTCTGGTGGTAATTCGTCGATCTCTGTACATTTGTGGTCGCAGGTCCTCTGAGACGTCGGCTTTGGGTCTTGGCAGTTAGCTTCCTCAGCAGATTCATTGTTATATTTCACGCAGACCACCGAGCGGCGTTGGACACCAATACCGCCTGACGAACAGTTGCCTGAACACTGGACAATTGAAGAATTTAAAGTCTAGTAGATTTAAAATTAAAATGTGAAAATTTATGAAATGGTAACGCTCTATACACCTAAGTATCAAACGAATATAATTTGAGCTTCCTAGAAGATTTGAGCTAAGGATGCTACTACACGGTGCAAGTAACTGGAGCAAGTAAAGATGGCGACCTCCGTGGCCGAGTGGTTTGTACGCCGTTTTAATTTGTACTCTAGTCATGGTTGTTTAATGTGTATTTCTTTATGAATATACTTATATATGTAGCAGTATATGTATTCTATCCGTTACCCTAGTATCCCATAACACAAGCCTTACAGTGCTTACTTTGGGACTTATAGACTTGTAGACTAATTGGTGTGTGTTTAAAAAAAAGAAAAAGATGCGGGTCACTCGCGTGAGTAGTGTGCACCAGCTACTTGTACAAGTTACTCGCTTGTTCTTGTACATAGAGCAAATGACTGGAGCAAGTTAAGACGGAAGGTTACTTGCGACATCAGTACGGACAAGTTATGTGGCCCCTCTGATTCCGTCGGCCTAAGCACGTACTAAAATATTTAATTCAATTCTTATACCCCGACGACGATATCACCCGCACTAATGCGCCTCCGACTCCTCCCACACAGACCACAAACACTAACACTACACAGCTAGCAAACTTGCACACTATTTTAGCATTAGGCAGATACTGCACCCGTAGGATAAGAGTGCGAAGACCCGGTCTATACACGACATGCTATGCCAGGTACCTATGACTACAGCTATGACAATAGCAATAATAATTGAACCCAAACTCTGCGCTTCCAAGGTTATCACAACTTCTCAATATTTCCGGGAAATTTGAGAATTTTTTCCCGTAAATATGGCATCAGATGGCCCAGTATCAAGTGAATCTTGAAAAGAAGAATGGCATATTTACTAACCGCATGTGTAGGTACAGCTTTCTGCAAATAGTCGGAACATGACCAGAAAACGGAAACGCGTTTTAGTTACAGGTTGGATATCTTCACCGAAGACAGTCATCACTATGCACAACATAACATATGGCTAAAGTATTCCTTATGGTAGAATATGAATCTTGTTCCTTTTTATCACGCTGTATTGATAATTTACTATGAAGTTTGACAGTAAGACGCGATTAAAAACGTGCTATAATGAGTATCTACTGTGGTGCTCATGCCACGAAGACTGGACGGATTAAACCGTCACTTAACATCAAGTAGTTATAGCCATTTGTTCGGACCTATACATAAAACAAAGAAAAACTTCTTCTAATGCGGATTCTTACCTGATCCCAGTCGCTGGTATACCAGCTCGGAAGGCAAGTATCGCCACAATTTTGCTCATGCACTGGCCGTGGTGTTTTGCATGCTGTGTCGCGTAAGTGCCGTCCGCTGCCACCGATGCATAGGACACCTCGTATTTGCTTTCCTCCACACGGCGAGGAACAAGGCGACCATTCCCCTAGTAGAAATAAGCAGAGATCTTAAGCAATTGACGAGATACAAAAAGTTGCTTTTATGGCTTTGGCTTATTATGGGTTTGAATATATGCCTTTTTAAGTAAATTCTGTCTTTATTATAAAATCGGCTGCTTTAAGTATATGGCGGATCAATGATAAACTGAATTGTATTATGTCAGCTGCACTGTATACAATGTTAGACATCCTCCAATATAGCTAGCTGTAATGTCAAAAGCCAATTCTTAGCCGCCGTTTTAGCAGTTTCTAGTATCAGGTACCTATTGAGTATCAGTCCCTCTTATTTGTGAATCTTTCTGCACAGTGCTACTTTCGAACTAATTTTTGTATACAAATATTTCATTTGACCCTGTGGTTGTCTGGAATGTAAAAGGTAGCGCTGCCTCGCAACCTAAGATAAACTAGTTCAAAATAAACACGTTAATTAATGTTTCGGTACCTAGCAACGCTTTAGTTTATTTACCCGGATAACGAAAAGCGCTGAGTGTAAATCCAGCAGATACCAAAGCCGAATTGAATATTTGATCGGCCTGATCTTCTTCACCTTCACGCCGTATTCCAGGTGGGGTAGGCAGAGAGATCAGAACAATATTGTTTAGCAAAAAAATGTTTCATCATCACCAACCTATTAATTTCTCCACAGCTGGGGCACAGGCCTTCTCTACGGATGGAATAGGGATATTGGGCCATGATCCACCACGCGGGGACAGTTTGAATTTGGGTGCTGACGACTACAGATGCAGCCGAGGTCAACGGCTTAACATGCCTTCCGAAGCACAAAGGAGCTCAAAATAATAAGTTTATGGTCCACCCATCCAAAGATCGACCATTGCGAAAGTTGCTAAAATTTCACGATCGCAGGCCAAACGCGCCATCCACCTGCGCCATCGAGCTCCTCAAATCAAAACTTTAGGGCTCCTCAAAAACAAACAATAGATTATTATTCATAATTACAACTTACAGCTGATATTAACGCCAATATGAATTTTTACGTTACCTGTAAACCATCTGCCGTCGTGAGGTTCGCAGGTGACCTTCGGAGTGCAAGACCGGAATACCTCAGGTGCCTTGTTAACGCAACCCGCGGGGTCCGCGCACCGAACGCCCCGGCTTTGAACCCCACCACCGACGCACCAGCCTACGCACTGATGATGATGACGATAGGATCAAATAGGTATAATTACTAAAGAAAATATAACTAGAAAAAATTCCACGCGGACCAGGCAGCAGACGGGACTCGAACCCGCACCCTTCGCAATCCGGGCGAATGCACTGACCAATTATGCTACCGCGGCCCTCACGGACCGCGTCGAAATTCTTTCTAGCTATTCTTAAGCTGCAAGGCAGCGCCATCTCTTCGCATTATAGGTAAACCCACAATGTCAAATGAATACTTTTACAAGTATTAAACATTTGAAAGAAGAAATAGCAATTATAGTTATAATTTTTATTATTTTTAAAGCATGTAACTGCTTGATGTTTAAATCTAAAGAAAGCCCGTCTGCTGCCTGGTCCGCATGGAATTTTTTCTAGTTATATTTTCTTTAGATTTAAACATCAAGCAGTTACATGCTTTAAAAATAATAAAAATTATAGGTATAATTACTATTAATAAAAATAGAGAGGTATGGTGGAATTGGAGTGCCCGTCTGGTGAATTAACCTCCACCTTACAGAAGATCACAGTAAAATATCACTACCTTTTGATGGCGTTGTGTTTCTGTCGGTGAGTACGGTTCTAGTTCTGCACGGGGTAGGCAACTGTGCGAGTGATATTTCAGTATCGCAAGCCTCTATAGGTTATGGCGTCCGCTTACTATCAGGAAGACCATAAGCTTGTTTGTCACCCTTTTAATATAAAAAAAAACGACGGGTTGCACTCCGGGAGTGCCAGCAGAAGTGAAAACTTGAATATTAACGTTCTGCATTTTTGATATTTTGGAATGGTTAGGGAATAATTTTGCACGAATTGCTTTAATTATCAGTATAAAAGTACTATCATTTATGTGGTAGAATACAATATCTATTTATTACGCTATCGTACACAAACATGACAATTTATATTACATTAAAATAAATATCTCTCAGTTAAATCATCTTACATGAATCACAATTAAGCGCACCTAGCGACATCTATTGTAAAAAAATGCATTTTCTTCGCAATAAAGCTGCCACCTGGACATCCTAAATAGAGGCTTATTATTATATTACGATAAAATATAATATTACTATCTTTCGTCAAATATATTAAAAGTCAACAACCTTTGAAATTTATTGTTTTCTTCTTACGAATTTTCGATTAGGTCACGTGTCCTACGTGTCCTGATGCGACTTTAACATTTTTTACTTACTACACTACAAAAGTGTACAACGCCGCTAAAGCAGTTTTCACTTCAAAAAACTAACCTTCATACATAATAAATGTCATTTGTCAAAAATTATTAAACAAAATGGTGAAAACGCATATGAACACACATTCAGTAGTCTCTGAGATCATTGGCGAAAATACAAAATGACAATCAGGCACGGTGGGGGCCTTTTTTTTATACAATATGTAGGTACCTAGTCATTTTATGAACTATTATATGGACTAACAAAATATACTTAGTAAGTGCTACATTCAAACTCAAACATGAACAATAGGCCATAACTTATCATGTAAGCCCTGTACTGGTTGATGGGTGCTAAATAACGATTGCAAATGTTCCAAAAAAGGGCTAAATTGTGTAAGGTTTTCTATTTCTCCGACCCCTTTTGTTTCTTAGGTAGTAAAGGGATTAGTTATGGCACATTTACATTATCTATAGCTTTAAAGGGATCGTGAAAAACGTTATAATTAGACATGAGTTCCACAATGGCTTAACGTACCGAGGCGCTCATCACTCTTTGACCAAGCTTTACAAAAGTTGCTAACTTCCACAATCACAGACCGAACGCGCTAACTACAGAAACATCAAACTTCTCCAGTGATTGTGATTTTTGCACTATTTTTTAATGCTTTATGCGATAAATCAATATTATTCAATTTGATTGCTGATCTATAGTTATCTCACCATTTACTGTTTTTTAGGATTCCGTAGTCCTGACTAGGAAACCCTTCTAGTTTCGTCATGTCTGTCTGTCTGTCCATCCGAGATTTTACTTAAAGACTGTTGGCACTAGAGAGCTGTAATTTTGTGTAAGTATGTATATCAATGACGCCGATAAAGTTGGAGAATTCTGTTTTTTAATATTTTATATTAGGGTAGCTCTCCTACAAGTAAAAGAGGGATGGTTTTTTTTCATCGTCTGCCCCATCGTGTGGGCGTTCATTGTATATAGGCCTTTGGGGTTGCTAAGACTATATTTCGATAGAAGGATACGTTAGCGAAATATGAAACTTTAAAGTGCTAATTTTTGTTAGAGTAGGGCGTCTCCCCAACTTCTAAAAGCTAAACTATCAGCTTGAAAAGCTGTCAAAATTCATGATATAAGTGCTTTTTATGAACATTTTAAGGAAAATAATAACGGTTAAATAAATTAGTAAGTTTAATAGTAATAGTCGTTCAACTTATGTATTAGAATAATTCATCTCCTTATTCTAATAAAAAATCCCAAGAAAAATACATTAAAGGTGTCTTAAATGAAGTAATTGCTTCTTTATAGCGCGCCTTGCATAGAAATTCTACAATTTTTACGGAACCTGCATCTACACTTCGCGTGGTACGACTGGCACTTGACCGGATTTTTTGTATTGTGATCTTTTAAATCTGTACATCTTTTGGCCTTTCTACAGCTCCATGTAAAACCATTGACATTCATATATTACTCATCGTTCTTGTCATATCTTATTACCTACCTTAAATCCGTCACAAAACTTTGCTATATCTCTTAAGTACATTAAATACATACAATGGTATCGATTCTGCCATGATTCTCTAAACTTAAACCTTAAGTAAACTTTAAACATCAGTCTCCCCTTTTCATTCTGTATAGAGAACGACATTGGCTACTTTAATTTTAGAGAATCATGCTAATTTACGAAATCTTTGATTGAATTATTTTTATTGGCTTAATTTTGTTAACTACAAATCTCACCTCCGCAGACCGTATTATTGGACGTATACTCTAGATCCACGTCGAAGTCAGAACTGTTTACAGAGACGGTGCACATGGGTCCGTCGCGGAACGTGTCTGTGTGTTTCTGAGTTCGAATCACGCGCGAGTCCACGTATTTTGCTTCGATGCACGCAGGGATATTGCACAGCTCAGACGCGACAGTCAAAGCTTCTACCATCAGAACCACAACTTACTTTATTTTGTGTTTTTGTGACCCTACAATTATTCTTACCTCCGACCATTCAGTGGTCAGCCATCCGACCGTATTACTGAACGTGTACTCTGGTCCCACGTCGAAGTCAGAACTGTTCACGGAGACGGTGTACACGGGTCCGTCGCGGAACGTGTCCGTGTGTTCCCGGGTTCGAATCACGCGCGAGTCCACGTGTTCTGCTTCGATGCACTCAGGGACATTGCATAGTTCAGACGTAGCAGGTTTCGGTCCAGCACATTTTTGATCGCTCACCTTTAAAAACAATAAACATTTCAGAATCACTTAATATAATAGAAATAGACTTGTGAAATATACCGTTATCAGATTGTCGTTTTATCTACATTCGTTAAACTAATTCCAAATTTTATTTTCATTTAAAACAGAACCTAAATAAGAGGGAGAGCGAGAATTTAAGAAAAGAAAAATAGCATCTTTATCGTGCATAGTGATCTTCTATGTAAAACTTTTCGTTATCAACGTGGTACAACAATCCCAGCGAATCGCTCGTGATCATTTAATTAGGAGTAAAACTGTCTATATCTTATTACCATTATTATACCTATATAATGGTCTAAACGCTTCTCGCGATCCTTGTCCTAGTGGCTGGCCCGCATTGAGGATACGAGGACCACGCTGTAGCTCTCCATCTCGGTGAGCACAGAGTTACATAATTAGGATTACCATCACCACCAACCATCTATGTCTTTTACCTTTGTGATGCCTCTATAGTGATCCTGAACGCATCCCACGATCCTTGTCCTAGTGGCTGGCCCGCATTGAGGACACAAGGACCAAGCTGCAGCCCTCCATCTCGGTGGGCACGGGGTGTTGTTGCATTTGTGACGTCTGCTGACTGGAGTCGGACCGCGACAGTGCACCGGTGATACTTCCTTGTCAGCGTCACTGGTTACTTCTATACAGCGATATTTTCCTAGCTGAAATATTCAAACAAGATCAAAAAAGAAATTCCTGTAGAGGTTTTTTATTAGTATGATAAAGACAAATATTTGTTCCCTAGTTATCGCTTGTTCCATCTATACAAGCCGACTTGCTCAGCGTTCTTAAATCACATTGAAATGTTAATTATGTTTATGTATCATCCTAACTCTATCTTTGAAACAATTGATAAAGATGGAATGATATGTAATATGTATGTAAATGATAAACCGGAATTTGATGTGATGTAAAATGTTTGAGCGCAAGTGGTCCATTTTGAATATTACAAGCTGTACTAAAAATGTACCAAATTTTTTTTATGTGGCGATACATGTGATCTTACCTGGATTCCGCTTCCACAACTTCTAGTACACTGAGTATAAGAGGCGACCTTCCACAAGAATTTTCTTGTCCCCACGATATTTTCTTGTAAATCCTCTTCACTGCTCGCATCTTTGGGGATATTATTTAAATCTGGATACTGTGGTTTTGTCAGTCCAGGTCTGGGGTGTAGATCGAAAGTGTAGTGCGTTCTTATATGTTTTGTGGTTATCGTAGGTGCAATATCAGGAATATTCGCTCTAGTTTTTGATTCAATTTCAATCTCATTAGGTAGAGCTACAGTGAAGTATTCGTATCTTAGGCTTGGATTCGGTTCAGTGTACAAAATCTACAATAAAGAACAACAAAATTAGTGATTTGAAAACATGGGCCCATAAAAAAATAAAATGCTTGAAAACTATTACAAGAATAATATCTTTCAAAATGCGTGCAAAATTTTATGTAATTTCATTCATCTGTGCAGGAACAGAATTTAATAAAGTTTTTTATCATATTCGTATGTATATTCAGAGTGATTAATATAGCTTGCAAACGAGCTGGCAACAAAAACCATGCAAATTGCCTAGGTCGCTTGTACGTTTCTTCATTATGATTAATCACTTAAAAGCTTAGATTCAAACAAAAAGGGAAGACACTGTATGCTCATACTAGCATCAAATAAAATATTCTCCGACTCAACTACACAAGCAACTGTCACGCGCGCACACTTCTGTAAATAAACCTTTAACCGAGCTAGCGGGACAGAACGAGTGCGAGCGAAACGGCGAGTCCTCGTCGCTTGGCTTGGTGACTATGTTTTCTTTTCTCTCTTTATAAGCGGCTGAGCTGTATTGTTGCCCTTTTCTTGATAATAAATGTGATTATTGAGATATTTTTTTTTGATAGTTTTACAAATGAAAAGTGTTGCCATCAGATTTGTTATTTGATCTTGAAATATTTGTGTTCTTTATAAAAGCATTGAAGGCATTGTTTTATCTTTATGACACAGAATTTATGTAATATTTATTTATTGAGTGCACATGCAGCGTTTTTGAATGTCCAATTGTGTCTAAAGCGAGTTTTGGTCATGCACCACAATTTAAGCGAATTACTTTTGAGCCGCGAGTAACGTATTTTCCCTTTTTATTTTAATCTAAGCTTAGTAGCCTATTTGGTCCTTGTTTTGCTGTCTTAGTCATAAACATTATTATTACACACCATAATGTCGATGGGGTGCTGTATCGGCCCCAGTGCAAACACACTGTCCAATCCTGATGCTCTCGTGTATATGAATCTAGCTCCTGCTGCGTCATACGCGCCTGGTGTGCTCACGGCGAACTCCCCATTCATTATGTATGAACTATTTGAAATTTTCAAAGCTGCAACAAAAAATATTTATAAGCAAGCAAATGTATTTTGTTACTATATTAATCTAATATATAAAATTCTCGTGTCGCGGTGTTTGTGGTTAAACTCCTCCGAAACGGCTTTCCCGATTCTCATGAAATTTTGTGTGCATATTGGGTAGGTCTGAGAATTGGACATCTATTTTTCATCCCCCTAAATGTTAAGGGTAATCCACCCCTAAATATTTTTTTTCAATTTTTGATATTTCTTTTGAATTTTTTTATGATACAGCATTAGTAAATACTTATAACCCTGTATTTTCAACACTTTACAATCAACCCCTATTTTTTATGGCGGTACGAAGTTCGCTGGGACAGCTAGTATGTTTATATATAAACTATTAAGCTCTAGTGCAAAACTTTTTACTGAATAATGGTTGTGTCATATAATATTATGTATTATATCCCTCAATTTGGTATCAATTGTAAAAGCTGTCTTATGTCGCTTTATTGAGGCATGAAGATATATAGCAAAACAAAAAGCACTGCTTCGTTTGGTTCTAGATATTTTTTGTCTTGTCAGATTCTATTAATTAATTTATATTGTTATTAAAACAGGAAATGAGTCTCGTGCTGGCATCATGACCAATATTGGTCAGTTCTATTTCATTAAGGGAGTCCTAAGTCACCATGATGCAATTATTGTAGAATGACTCATTCAATTCGCAGTCGTTCCCATCAGCCTTACAATATCGACAAAGAGCGCAAGAACATTAATAACACCAATTGACACAATGTTAATCCGAACAGTGGTATTATGGACTGATTCTAAATGGTCAGATGTAGCACGTTCAAAGGCAAGGTGAGCCGATCTATTCATATCAGCACAAAACAACGTGGGTGTTGCTATTGAGAGCGATCGCGAATGATTTACAGTCAGCCCCATCGACAATGCTGATTGATATGTGTACAGCCGTTTTGCGGCTCATTTGCCGTTGTCAAAAGGCTATTCAACAGAGTGAAGTAATTGATATGGGACAAAAATCAAACTATATTGGAGCTTAATTAAGCTCTTGATATTGACATTATACAACATCAGGACGGCTTTTTCTATTAATAAGGATGCTACGAGACTTTGCTATCAGGTTCATTTTATCCATCTAAAATCATTTAGCTTAAGCCCAAGAGCTTAGCACAAATAGGTAATAGAAATACTGTATCAAATATGTGTACATACTGTATGGAATATCTAAAACAAATCTTACAAAAATAATAATTCTAACTTGACGTAAAGTGCATACTTCTAGGCCACAACCAAATGCAAGTTGAAGCTTAACCAACCTATATAGTTATCGCTGGGCATAATCTCTGATACGTTGAGACGGCACGCGCCTCGCGGCACCGTCGCTACCAGGGAGTACCCAAGCGGCAGTCTCGGCCGGGAGAATAGGCCCGACACCAATCTCCTTCCACATCTTAGCTCCCGTGAACTGGCAGCTGCTAATACTGACTCTCGACCGACGATCTGTAATAAAAATAAAATGGTAGATATTGCTGATAGAAAGCATAAATAAAGGTATTTTAAGGAAGGTAGAGTACAGCTGGAGGAATCTCTGTGAGAACTGCAAATCCCGGAAATTGCAGTTAAACCACAGACCTATATCTCAAAGTCAAACATAGGAGTATATAGATAAATGAACATCAAATAATAGTTATCAATTGATACCCAAAAAAACTACCATTGGTAACCTTACCTAATATTTACCAATTGTATTTTTAGGTGATCATAATTTTTTATGAGGATCATTTAAATATTTCTCTTTAGATAAGTTGCGTGTGACTGGTGTTATAAGCATTACTGTCAATGGAGGTAGCTTAGAACCAAGAGACTCTAACGCTTGATTATATTTTTTTTAATAGTTTAGGGAGGCTTGCATAGGCCCCTGGTCCATGAAAAACAAAGTGGAAAGCACATTTTTTTTTCATGGCCGGAAAAGAAAATAAAATATCCGGCCCATTTTCGTCTTATTATTCGAGTTTTACTGTACATCAAGGCTTCATTTATGTCTTAACATAATTCTGATTAGTTTCTCAACGAACTTATCTATATATTAGATGTGTAAATTAAAAACCATTACTAAATATGATAAAACGCAGAATATGAATTATGAAAATAATTTTCTCAGCTCGTGACAGAAATCATCCACTTACATAGACGAGAAGATAAAACTTCAAGGTATAAAGTAACGACTTTTTATTCTACCTATGAAAATCTTTGTTCACAATAATATATATTTTAAAACCACCACCACCACTACAATTACTTCAGTATTCATGGATTCTATGAAACTTAATGAGTGTAACGTTGGGAACGTTACAAGTTTTGAAATACATCTCCATATCCTATATAGTTGAATTTCCAATTACTGGTGAACTATGTGCGTTAACAACTCGATGCAACCGATACGCGGCGTCTGGCCACATGAGTAAAGAACACAGAGGCAAAGCTTCAAGCAGTGCGCGTGTATGAGTGATCATTGGTGCCCTGTTGCCGCCAATAGAAACGTTTCTCTGCGTACTAGTGCTCACTCAACATTAGCTTATTTATTTCCCCACTGTTAGGACACAGGTCTTCACTTTGGATGGAATAAGGCGATTAGGGTGATTCACCACGCGCGGGCCTTCGGATTGGTGGGTGCTATCGACTGTACCTACAGCCGGGACCAACGGCTAAACGTGCCTTCCGAAGCACGGAGCTCAGATAAAAAGCTTTTGGCCACCCATCCAATGAGCGACCATTTCGAAAGTTGCTTAATTATTATCATCATCCTTCTTTGCCAAAAACAAGGTATAAAGGTTTTATAAAAAGTTAATTTAGCACATGTTTTACCATTTAAAAAACAGCATGTTAATACATAGGTAGGGAGTAAACTTCCACGATCGTAGGCCGAGCGCATTAATCAACTGCGCCATCGAGCTCGTATGCTCACTCACACACGCGCAATTGTATGAAGCTTTATCTCTGCGTCTTCTTTGCTCACGTGGTCTGGCTAGAGCGCCGCAAACAATACGCCGTCGCCGTCGTCGTAATGAGCCACGACACATTGTCCAGCTTGTCTGCAACCATCAATCTGGAGATCTCTTGTAATTTCAGCTCAGCACGATTCACATGTCAACTTTCAAATCTATCGGTGAGTCAGGCTCGTTTAGAATTGGGTGCTGTAGGTATATTTGTAGTACGGTAATTAAGTAAAAGTTAAGATTCTAATTGTCAAAACAGTCTTTAATATTTCCAAACTTTTGAGGCTTTCTGACTATATCTAATTTGAACAAATTATAACTCATGTAAAAATTTAGATTAATGAGCATTTTCGGTTTTTGAACGTAACATACTTTTAGTGGTCACGTTCCTAGGAAAAATAACATTTAATGTAGGATGAAATGACTATAATGGCCAAATCTATTTCTAAACGAATTTTATAAAAACAGGCGCTTAGTATCTACCATAATCTCAAATCCAATAAGCAATTAACCGTGAAGTGAAACGTGTAGGTGTGAGAAGCCTTAAATCGATTACGCGCTAAGTATTAGCAAGCAATGTAAACGGCGATAAAATGGATACTATAACTAAATTAAGAAAATATACTTAATTAAAATTTACATAATGGAGTGATAAAAAAATGGTTTGCAGTAAACATCAAAATATTATATTATGCCCACTCGCACCAAAGTTCTTAGCTTATCACGTCTAAACCTCATTATACCTTTGTTTGGCCATAAGCAATTGACAAAAAAATTTAAACAAAAAATAAAACCGACTTCAAAATCGAAAATGGAACTAAAAACTAATATCTGGTTCATGATTTGGATGTCGGGTGGGTCAAGATTGAAAGACGTATTATAACCGATCGGAAAAAGGAAATTCTATTTATCTTTTTTATATCATCCATTTTAGTGAAAATTACATCGTCCAAGCATATAGGTACCTATAATAAAATGGGAGGAAAATCAAAACTGTACATTGAATATTTTTTTTAAAAGAATACTTTAGGTGTGATCTACAATCGATACCAAATATATAGTTTTTAGAAATTTTGTCTGTTTGTCTGTATGTATGTCCGGGATAAACTCAAAAAGTACTGCATGGATTTACTTCAAATTAAGCACGAATATTATTTAGAAGTCGGGTCAACATATAGGTTACATATTATCACGCTATTACCTACAGGGAACGAGCAGTGAACCTTTATTTCTAACTAACTCCACGCGTATGAAGTCACGGGCGGCCGCTAGTAAACAATAACACAATTGACGGAGAAACCGGTGAACATGCATAAAAAAACATCGTGCGTGCCTTTGAAATTTGAAGGTTTCCCTGGATTTCCCCGGATTCCACCATCAGATCCTGACTTGGTTCCGATGGGACCACCTCGGAAGTGCATTCTTTTGTATAAATAATAATTTTGGAAATCGCTCCACAATTGACGGAGAAATCCGTGAGCATACATAAATATATATATATATATATATATATATATATATATATATATATATATAATCGAACACAGAACCTCCTCCTTTTTTGAAGTCGGATAAAGATGGACAGATGGTCGTAGCAGATAAGAATTAAAAGCAGAAATTATCAATTAAGAAAGGGATCGTTACCGTATAAACTTGAGCCTTTCAGTATTCTTTGTATTATATCGCTACTGCAACGCACACTAATCGTAATTGTAACGTAATCGCCTCAACTCTCCGTATCTTAGCTTACGTGTTTCCGTATCCGAGCTTACATCTCTCCATAGCACAGTTTAGGTCTCTTTCTTCATGCCCCTCCCGCTGCCTGCGTTTTCGAATGTGCAGTCCATAGAATAAGTAACCACTCCGTTTTAAGTGCAGACTCTTGAAACAGAATGGTTGCTTTTGCTATTACTGATGGAACTGGAGCCGCCTAGCCGTCAACCAACGGTCGGGGAGCCGTAAGCACAGCGCCTTCTAGACGTAGCCGATGCGAAAGTACTGGTGCTGCTTATCCGCTTACGTTACATGCTTACGTTACGTGCTAAGATGGACGTCTGTTTGACGGCAATCCCTTAGGCGAGTCGGTATCGTTCCCTTTTTGAAATGATATGTGTGCTATGATGCTAATGGGAATTAAGAATTTCGGTGCAAGTGGCTTTTAATCCTAAAACACAACTGATAAAAGAGTTTTAATTGTATATTCATAAGTTAGTAGGTATAGAAGATGGCATAGGACTGTGCTGTGCTTGCTTTGCTCTATCTAAGTATTAAGCCATTTCACGTTTCTTACATATAATATGTGAACAAACAATATGTGATACTTTTAAACCAATGTCTGTTATGTACAAAAATAACGTTTTGACGTCAAGTCAAAAAAAGTTTTACCTTGAAGTAAGGATAGCTAATTAAAATTACAAAAGTCCGATTCGTTTAATTTAAATTATTATCGTTTAAAATTATGACAATATTTATTATTTAAAATATTAAATAATATTAAGATTATTACGATATTTCAATACAAAATATCATCTAAATCCCTCTTATAATGTCATTTATCCTATTATTTATAACTAACATTTATAGCTTTGAACTTGTTTTGCATAAAATATATATTATAATTCCAGATTAGATTATGTTATCATCGCGTTGACAGAATGTAATAAGTATCGGTAGGACAAGACAGGCGAACGCGTTTCAGATAGCGAGCTTAATCGCATCATAATGTCAGAACAGCAGAAAATTAATATTGATCAGGTTTCAATCGATATTCATCTGATCCATGGGTTTTAATTACAGAGTTAAAACTCTGTAAAATAGAAATACTCGTATATCTCGTTATCTCTTTAGAAGCAGATAATGATTATGTATACACTGAGGTACATGTTGGACAGATTTCCTCGAAATACGGTATAAATTCGGATTGCAATAAGGTCGACTTCACCAGCTTAAAAAGCGTATCCCACAAATTGGATTTCACTACCAGCTCAGAATAATATGCTAAATCTGTTGTTTTCAATATTTATACAACAGGCTTTTTTCATTATGAAAGTACTCAAAACAAAACTGCTTCCATAAATTCCCTTGTCAACATTGCGTAGAGATACCAGAATAAATTAGTTCATTTGGGACAGCTGTTTAATATAGTAACATCTTTATGTATGTACTTACCCAACTATTTTAGTATGTTCATTCCACATTAAAAGGTCCAAAAACAACAGACTTTACGGCCATGCGTGTTGTTTTGAAGCCACTATACAAAGGCCACTCTTTTTAATGTCATATTCAAGGATATCCTTAAAAGCATAGGCGCCCGTTTATTTGCGTTTAACGCCTTTATTTCATATGCAAATCGCATCAGAAATTGGTGTTTATGTTGAAAACGGCGCCAACAAATTTATAGCAATAATTTTATCTTAATTCAATTCGAATACGATAGTCCGTATTACACTAAAAGGAACCGTATTAAATATAAATAAAGCAATCGTACGAGTTAAGATTATGAAT